TTAACCCACCTTGCCTGCTGGTGGTGGTCAGAGGGACTGGTAGCGCCAGTTCTCGGCAGCCTCACCTCTGTCAGTGCGCCCCAGGGCAGCTGTGGCTACATCGAAGCTCATCCCCACCAGTGTGTGAATGGATGAATGATACACTGGAGTGTAAAGCGCTTTGGAGTCCTTACTCTGAAAGGCACTATACAAGTGCAGGTCATTTATCATTTATCATTTATTTTCAGTCAGGAGCGTGTCATTCCACTGATGTTGCTCCTGATGTCAGCATTATTAAAAGTATAAATATATATCAGCTTTTGTCTGGGATGGACCCATATAATTAACATGCTGTCCTCGTTATGAGTATGTTACAATAACCTACAGTAATCTACCTTACAAGTGCCAACATAAACATATGTAAGAAGAAATACTTTATTGATGTGACTATATATTTTAACAGCTTGTACTCAGGTCACACATGACAGACATGGTAGTATTTGTTCTAATTAACATGTGTGATGTTTTGACCTTGGTGTTTCTTTGTGGCAAACAATTTACAGCATTAACTTTAGGGTCACATGACCACTACAACTGTATCTTCTTAAAACTCACAGCTGCTCAACAACAACAAAGTCCTTAAGTCTCTACTCATCCAGACTCTGGAACAGACCATGAAAACAACACATAAGTGATGACAACATGGACAAAAAGAGATGAAGCAGACTTCCTGCGTTGCCATGGAAACATGTAAACGCCGAGCATTCTAACTAGTGCCAGCCACACAGCTTTAATCCAACAGGTGTTGGTCTCTGTTTTAGTTCTGATATCTTTGTGGTCCTCGAAGGCATGAATGAATAATTACTGTTCCGTCTGGGAGAATGAGAACATCACTTATTGGCATTTATTGTGGGTTATCCAGCTTAAACTGAAGTGTCTGCATGCAGGAGCCTGTCTGGTGATAAATGTGTGTTCAGTTGTTCTCTGCTGGAGTTTGTGGAGGCTGTCAGAGGAGCCGCTGCAGGGAACCCAGCCGGTCTCGTATATATTTGTTTAAAAAATCAAACTTCAAAAGCTTCCACATGAGTCTAAACCTTCCACCAACGTCTGATGTAAGTTTGCTGCAGCTGGACGCTGATGCTCAGAGGGATGAGGTGCTCCTCGGCTGTGGTTTAGTGATTCCTGCTGGGGTCTCTTGTGGACAGCTCAGCTGGAGAGACATCTTCCTTTTATCAGCTTTAATGTTTATTGTTACACCGTTTAGGATTTTTAGGGATTTTTATGCTCATCTTTTCAACATTATTACAACTAAATTCCTAATTCCTCCTGTTAAGTGAAGACGTAAAATACTTGAGACACAGAGAAATGAATGTGTGACCATAAAAAACTTTTTAAGACTTAGTTGTTTTTTTATTTTGTTTTAGTTACTTTCACATTTGTGTTTCTGTCTCCTTGTCTAATAGCATTCATCTAAAGCCAGGTGTACACTGTGCGACTTTTTCACTTTTTTGAGCCGATTTTCCAGTCGTGCGAGAATCCACGACATCGGGGCGAGTTTTGCGCCGAGCGTCGTGTAGTGTACAGGGGGTTACGAGAGGCGATTAACACCACTTGACCAGCTGCCGATCAGCAGTCGTGAGCTCGCACGGACTTCTGGTGTGTTTAATATTTCGCTCGTCCCTCGTGAGGGTATCGCACTGTTGAAGCGGCGCTGCGAGCAGCTGCGACCCAAAAAGTATCAGAACCGCTCACGGCGCATGCGCAATCCTGCATCAACACTGCTCGCCTGCTATTTCCCTAATAACACATGCTGTTCGTTTTTATTTCTACACGTTTTTTTTACTCACAAAGATTGTCAAGAAAGCGTGTTTGTCGTGTTCATGTCAAACTAAACTGATCACTAAACACAGATTTACTTTCTTTATTTTGTTTTCCTCATCCAACCCCCATAAATCCCTGTGTGTCCTCCTGCAGCACTCCCGAAGGACAACAGGCAAAATCAAGACCAAAAAGTCTGACGTGTTGTGTAAAAACTGCTATTTTTAGCATATTTTTAGGTCCGACGTGTTGCTACCAGACGTAGAGTGTGAGCAGTCAGGTCGCATCCGAGAACTGGGTCGTACAGTGTGAGCGCCTGGCTCGTGAGATCTGCTCTGCGAGGAAGTCGTACAGTTTGAGCTGAAGCTGAGTGCTACGAGTGAAAAAGTCGCACAGTGTACGCCCAGCTTAAGAGACAGAGGCTTGTAGTTTAATTAGCCACCGCTGGTTACCATGGTGACCACAATGAGCTACTGAGAACAGCTTTAACATTTCTTTTTATCTTGGTTCTGTATACACTTGTTTAAAACTTTATATATCAAACATTTCAACAAAAGAAAATCATAAATGACTATTTGACTTTAAAAATGTGTTTGTTAGATTTTAATCTTCACTTTTTTAATCTTCTACTTCTCTTTCTCTTTTAATTAGTGGTTCTTCCACATGATTAGTGGTGAAACATGTTTCTGTCCTCATTAATCTGCCATTTGACATATTTTCTCAGTAATTAAAGTCCTAATTAATTTCTGTGCCAAAGTACTACAACACCCAAGTGAGTGAGCACAGCGGGAGTAGAGTCTGAACTGATCAGTGATGGCAAACGAGCGGCTAGAGCTCAGTCTGTGTGTGACTCTGACCCCAGTTAACCCGTGACTGCCTTCGACGAGTCCCGGATCAGTGCCCAGGACATTTGTTGCCAGTTCTTGTGTGAAATATGTATTTTATAGGCTTTGCCAGCCATTCAGTCTGTCATCTCACTCTGATGGCATGTCCTAGCATTATCAAGAGATTAAAAATAACTCCATTTCACTCAGAAGACCCTCTTGTATAAATTCCTCGAACCCCCGTTGCAGATCCGCTGATCTTACTGCTGTGAACGCGATGTGAAGTATTTCCCAGGATTCTCAGAAGCCGTGAATGAGAGCGGCTGTTCCCTGCCGTGTTTTTTTCATCTCACTCAGACAGACAGGCTCTCTTCTGAACATCCTGAGGAGAAAACCCCTTTTTTTTTCCTGTTTACCTGCTAACCATTTGGTGTGTGTTCTCAAAGTGACCTCATGCTTCCCAGAGCTGCACAGATGCACATTATAGGCTGTTGGTTGTGAATTGACACAGAGTCGTGATCCCAATGCAGCACTGAAGCGACACACAGATGCTGGAAGAAATGTTCATAGAAAAACAGTGATTGCAGCAGCAGCTCAGGGGGGAGAGAGGGTTGTAGGATCGATCCCGGCTCTGATGCTAGTGCTCAGCAGCCTCGCCTCTGTCAGTACGTCTCAGGGCAGCTGTAGCTGCAGTGTAGCTCATCACCACCAGGGTGTGAATGGGGGAGTGACTCGTTGTGTTGTGAAGTGCTTTTGGGGGTTCTAGGACTGAAGAAGGTGCTATTCCAAATACAGTTAATTTACCATAGGCTGTTGGTTGTGAACTGACACAGAGTCGTCGTCTCAATGAAGCGCTGAAGCGACACACAGATGCTGGAAGAAATGTGATTCGTAGAAAAGCACACCTGAAGATTCTCCCTCACATCTTGCTGATTCAGGAGTCTAAAAAAAGCTCAAGGAATCTGGAGACTGGACTCTAAAGTTCCTGAAAACCACCTGCTGGCAGACCTAACTTCCTTTCTGAAGAAACCCAGTCACTCAGTAAAACTGGAATAGATGCATTTTATGTTTGAAGATGGAAAAAGGTTTCTTTTAGTCCTATTATTATTCGTTTAAGGCTGTCGCTACCTCAAGTTTTTTCATTTATTGGCTTCAGATTCAGCAGAAAAATGCTTTTCTTCAGTTTCACCATGTCAGCAACTGTCTTTATAAAATGAGTAGTTCACACATATGAAGTCACAGCATGAGTTTTCAGAGTAAATTAGACACTGTTACAGTGTAAGCTGCTATAATCAGTATTTATATTAACAATGGATCACAGAGGATTACCACCAGTTTGGGATTTGTAATTATTTCTGTTTCCTTTTCTAGCCTGAACCTTACTGCCGTGACTCTCAGTTTTATCAGGATTTTTTTTTTCTGTTCTTGGACTTTAATATATTAAATAATCATGACTGACTCAAAATAGCTGTCAGTGTTGCCCCTGTTGGCTTATTTGGCCTGTAGACCAAACAGCCTTGTTGAATAGATAAGAGGTGTCTGCCCACCCATCTTTCTCTTCTCTTTATTTGATAAGCTGTGTTTGGAGCTCAGCACATCAGTGTGTTACCGTGAGATCAGTGCAAAAGCAGAAAGGGTCAGCGACCCCTCTCGGTGAACCCTGACTGCGGGGAGCTCAGGTGACATTAGCAGAAGTTTGGCAGATCGACAGTCACCGCTGCTGCATATGTACAATCCCTCACATGTGATTTTCTAACCACGACTGACCCATTTCACCTTCTAATTAAAGGATACTTAGTTACTCCAGCACAATGGATCTTTGTCGTGTTTTTTAATCCTCTTACGGCGGTAAATAGGTCAACCTGATCTATAACGTGTTGGTGCCTGCCACCATGCTCTTGTTGCCATGTGTCATGCATGTCCTCGTGGTGTGTCTAAAGAATGCTGTGGAGTTCATCTAGAGGTCTGAGGTCCCATCAACTCTCGTTCTTTTGGTCATTCTGGGAATTTTTCTGGAATTGCCGTTAAAAATAGGAGAAAGTTTGTGTTTAAACTGATTGTGATATAAAAGTTCATATTTTAATGAATCTGTAGGAAGTTTTAGTCCTAAGGGGTGTGCATAGAATCAGTGAACTGCCTATTTGAGTGTTTGATGAGTGCTGATAAGAGGCAGCCTACTGCCCCCTGCTGGCCAACAGAGGTTCAACCAAATGCAATGGTTAACGCACTGTTAAACAAGCACAATAAATGTGTGTGTGTGTGTGTGTGTGTGTGTGTGTGTGTGTGTGTGTGTGTGTGTGTGTGTGTGTGTGTGTGTGTGTGTGTGTGTGTGTGTGTGTGTGTGTGTGTGTGTGTGTGTGTGTGTGTGTGTTTGTGCAGCTCCCCAACATGTTTGGTTCTCTGAGCTCCACCATCATGTCTCTGATGATCGGCTCCTACGCCTCCTCTGCTGTCACCTTCCTCGGCGTTAAGGTAAACAAACCAGCATAGTTGTGGTTAGCGCCATCCCAGTCCTAAACTAAACAATCTACCGTCTCTTCCAGCTGATCTACGACGCAGGTGTGTCCTTCCGTGTGATCATGTGGATGTGGGCCGGTCTGGCTCTGTCTGTCTTTTTAAACTGTTTCTTCAACTGGCCCAAAGATGGCTTCCCAACACCTCATGAGGTGGACTACAGGTGAGCACCATCATCTTGTTATATGTATTTCCTGTAATCTAAGGCACAGAAAGTGTTGATTTTAATCACATTTAAAAAAAATTTATACAAACAGTAAAATCCTCACACTGCAAGAGGTGCCGTCATCTGACCAGAAGGCAGTTGGAGAGAGGCTGAGCCACCAAAACGGAGACGTTCAACACTCCACAGAGAAGCTTCCTAATGGATCAGAGTCTAAAACAAGTGAGTTAAACACACATTCACTCACCTGGGAGCCTGCAGGGGGATGATGAAGGGAATTGCTACTCTGAACTTAGTTCACTCACTCATTCTCCTCGCTCAGGTTCTGTCCCTTTCCGCCGGTCTGTGTTCTCTCCCATCTTCCTGTGGAGTCTGATCACAATGGGAATGACTCAGCTGAGGATCATCTTCTACATGGGAGCGATGAATAAGATGTTGGAAATCATAGTCACACATGGTGAAGAGCACCGTGAGTGTCCCACAAACCTTTAAACACCAAAACATTTTTGTTGGATGAAATGTGTTGTTTATTTTTGTTGTTGTTTACATTTCAGCATCTGATACGACTTTGGTTGAGGCAGAAGAGAAAGGTGAGTTTACGTTTGTGCTCTTCGTGTTTTGTCCAATCCTTTCACTCTTTACTCATGAAAATCTTTTTTTCCTTTCAGTCAATTTGTACTCCTCCATCTTTGGCACTCTGCAGCTGCTTTGTCTTCTAACATGTCCTCTGATTGGCTACATCATGGACTGGAAGATGAAAGAATGTGACCCGGTGGTGTGTGCTTCCTCAGGAACAGTGCAGAGGTATGTACCGCCATCAATACTTACGTTTGCAATAACACAAGAAACTCGTGAGATAACTAAAAACCTTGTCTCTGTTGATAAACAGTGCTAAAAGAGACCGAAAGATCCAAAAGCTGACCAACGCCATGAGAGCCTTCATCCTCACCAACATCCTGCTCATCATCTTTGGATTTTGCTGCCTCGTAGAAAACATGCCTCTTCAGGTAGCACACACACACACACACACACACACACACACGTGCACACACCACAACAATAAACCAAAAAAAAAAAAAATTCAAACAGCTGAACCTGATGACTCTGCTGTTTCCTTGCGGTAGATCTTAACATTCATTGTCCACACGATGGTCCGGGGCTTCATCCATTCCTGCTGTGGAGGTCTTTATGCTGCTGTGTGAGTGCTGCACCACGACACACATCTCACATCACAACAACTAGAGGATAGGTTACCCCAAGGCATGGAAAGTTTCTGGTTTTAAATCTCCAAAACAAAACAAACATCAAAGTTGTGTCATAACTGAATTTTACAAGGTTTAAATTGTTAATATTAAAGTTCTAGTAATAAAACTCTTTTCTGACTCATTTGGTGTTATGTCCTAGCACCTTATAAACACCAAAAGTAGAGCAGGCATTTACAGTGTGATAAAAGCATCCAGATGTGCTGGCTAAAGTAAAAACAAACAAACAAGCACACAGTAATGTAGGATGAGGTCTCTGGACAGTGGTGGCTCCTGAGAAATGTCTTTCTTTGGGGGGGGGGGGGGTATTTATGAAGACAATGGCTGCTTGTATACCTACTTTGAGATTTCCCCTTTAGCTACAGGCTTAATGTCTGAGTCAGCCTGTAAAGTTTAGTAAATGAATAATTCACTGTAACATTAATGTCAATCAGATAATTAAGTTTCAAACAGAAACACGTTTCAAGGTCAAAGATTTTAATGCTGACATATAACATGGTCATGGTCAACCCACAGTCCCAGTTATTCTCAAAATCTAACTCTGACCAAGGCCTCGGAGATGAACAGAGCTCCAAGCTTCCTGCTGATCTAAAGAGAAACTTCCTCAGTCACACACATTTATTCAGTTTCACGTCAAATTCATTTCTCATGGTGCTTATTGGTTTCTTCTGCTAGAGAGTGTTGAGTATGTGTTCCTAGGTGAACAATAAAAGACAGTGAAAACAATTATTTACAGTTAAACACTGACAATTAATTTCTAAGCCACAGAAAATGATAACAGTTTACAGGATCCTGGGTCGATCACCGTCTAAGTCCCTGACCACCATACATCACCTTCAGAGGACTCTTTGGGAGTTTGACTGAAGCCTGTCTCCTGACCCGGGTTTTATACTGTTACAACCACTAAGGGAATGTGCAAATATGGTCTCTTCCCACTGGTGTCCATCTTTCTATGAGGATGAAAATCACCTAATTTCCAGGCAGTCTGCAAAATATGTCAGCACAAAAAACATACTTCCTTCTATTTATTGCTCTTTTCTAACTGAGACACTCGGCCCTAATCAGGGTCATAAGTCTCTCAGTTCCTTCTGGGGTCTGGTGCCCTATCTCTTTGTGCACTTTGACCCGGGCCACCATTAACTCATGTAATGCTCTAGTGGTCCTTGCTGCTGAGTTCAAAAGTGTAACTTCTCATGCAGCTTTTAAACATGTATTTTACTTTAACCTTAACCCTCCCACTGTCCTAATGGGTGTGACCCCGCCAGGAAAGTTGACCAATGAGCAGGGTTGATGGTGTATCCCTTGGGTCCATGTGGCAGGGGTGAGGAGTGAGCACCACCTCACCCCTGCCTCATGGACCTCAAGGAATAAATCATCAATCATCCTGCTCATTGGTCAACTTTCCTGGTGGGGTCACACCCATTAGGACAGTGGGAGGGTTAAGGTGTGACCATATTAGCAGCTTTAATAAAAATATGTCAAAGGCATTTTAATATATGTGAAGTATTAGTTATCAAATCATGGTGAGTAAATAAATGGTTTCATTATATAGCTTGCAAGAATAAGCATTCTGTTTTTAGTTATATAAAATAGGAGACTTGAGAATAAAAAGCCTTTAATACTTTCATTACATGATTGAGTCACAGAGTCAGTATTCTTTATTGCATTGCGCAATTACAAAATCAGCTAAACTTATGGATCTTAAGTGGTTATAAAATATCAAATAACTATTCTATCTCCTTGTGTGATTATCTGAGCCTTAAGCTGAGTGCTAGTGGGGGATATAGCCCAACAAGAGTGAAGGAGTGTCCTACTCTATCTGTCAGGTGCAGCCTGGAGTCAGAATTCAATTCAACTCAAAGATACTTTATTAATCCCAGAGGGAAATTGATTGCTGTAGTAGCTCAGAATAATAATAATAATCAAGTCATCAAAGAGTTATTGTATATTACAATGGCTGTTGGCAGGAAGGATCTCCAGTAGCGGTCAGTGTTGCAACGAAACTGAAGAAGCCTCTGACTGAAGACACTCTCCCGTTGTCGGACAGTCTTGTGAAGAGAATCCTCAGGGTTGTTCATAATTTTCTTGATTCTCTGGAGAATCCTTCTTTGCATTATCTCCTCCAGTGGTTCCGAAAGTGCCGATACTCTGGCTGAGTCCTTGAAAGGGCTTGGAGTTCCTCCATCTTGTTGGCCAGTGATCTCACATTGCCCATTATGATCGATGGAAGAGTTGATTTGAATTTCCTCTTTCTCTGTCTCCGTTTTGCTCCCGCTCTGCACCCTCGCTTCTTGCGTTTTAGCTCATTTGGGATTTGTGGCTTCAGTTGAGGTATTATTTCAGCCTTTCCAATGTTAATCAGCTGCTCCCGATTGTAAACCAGCTTGTTGCCATGGTTATGCATCATAACAAATGCTCAAAAAGTGAGAAAAGCTAAAAAATAGCAGTAAAAATCCTCCAAGCTTCACAGCACCAGAAACAGAAAAGTAAAATGTCCAAAAAAATACAGTTTTTCTTGAGAAACTAGAAGAAAAAATGCCCAAGAAAAGGCAAAACTTACATATAGTCAACAGAGCTACTCCAACATGCAGCCACTCAGAGCAGCACAGTTCTGGAAAAAAGAAGGACTTGACATAAACTGAAACTCATCACACAATAAAGTGTTTAATAAAATGAGAGATGAATAAATGCAGAATACAATGAAGCTACTGGAGTAATTATAATGGATTAGCTGATCATAAGACAAACACTCAGCAAATTTCAGAATGAATTTGTAACAATTCCCCCTTTGAGCTCTCTAAGATAGTTCACTCCATTTCAGTTGAAATCTCTTCTTCAGGACGCTCTGGTGAATTAAGAAGAGTGAGCAACACCTTCCTTACCTCATCATTAGAGAGGGCTTTATTGATCCGTTGCTCCAGGAGGCAGCGGACACATGAAAGTAGCAACAACCACAAGTCACAACTACAGCAGATTCACCAGTAAAAATGAAAATATTTTCAAAGAAGTCATGAGTCTTCAACCTTGCCAATTACCCCCAATTCCATCCGTGTCGGTGGATTACTTACGTAGCTGTATGAACTAGGGATGTCCCGATCCGATCACATGATCGAAAATCGGCCCCGATCACGTGGTTTCAGACTCGATTGGGACTCGGGCTTTACTTCCCGATCCAAGCCCCAATCCAGACTCGGATACTGGGTTTATTTATTTTAACTGAAACCCCAAAATGCACATTTGGGTCATTTCATTTTAGGCCCTAAATATTTTGGTTGCCACATGTTTGGTGCATCTCAAATTCAAATCAATTTGTAAAATATGATAACAGTAAATGTGTAAATATATAAAATATAAAATGTTGACCTGTGTAAAATTATATGTGTGAAAATTAAATGTGTGTGTATAATTAAAATGTGTGTAATAGTCTAAATTAAAGGTGTAATAGAATAGTTCCCCTTTAGAAGCACAGTGATTGACTGCACAATGATCACAAGGAATATTATCCCCTGTTATGGCGTGAGCAGAAAGGTCTTTCTAAAATCTTCTCATCCTATTCTTCATGCTGCCTTATCCCCAAATGGTGTAAGTGTGCCACTCCGTGGTCCAGGTGTCTTTCAGTCTGCATTCATTCCTTCACGTTGGAAACCTCTCGGCCTAGGTTCCTTTAGCATCAGTACGATCGGGGTTTGGTGGGACTGGATGGCGTGAGTTTGGTCTGGAACGGGTGGTGTAGTGTTCACATATAAATCCAAAGGACTTCTCAGGAATGCGGAAACCGAAGGGGCTGTGGGCAGCGTTTTAATTCACACAGGAAAGTCTGCTGTGTCCTCCATAATAAGATGAACAAAGGTGGACATGAGCTGTGTTGCTTTTGGAGACTCTGAACCACATTATTTTATTATTTTGTTGTTTTCTCATAGTCTTGTTCTTCGCTGCTGTGGGCCACACACACACACGAGGACAGGGAGACACACGTACACACAAACGCACACAGCTCACTCTCATCTCCCTTTCTCACTGATCAGCAGCTCCGTGCTACAGATGGAGAAGTTTAGTTAACAGCATCCAGCATGAAAATTTTGTGCATGCGGGAACCCCTCGCTGGCTGATTCTACTCTCCAGTTGGATGCAGTAGGTGTAATTTTAGCCGGCCATTCAGTCCATAGTGTCACCTTGGTCCCAGTCTGACTGCTTGGGATGAGGTCTGAAAACAAGAGTCGCCTTGGAACCGAAAACGCATATCTGACCCAAGTGTGAAACCAAATTCCGGTCCCATACGGTAACATAAGTGTAATGTGGAAGCGCCATTAGTTTTGTGCTGTTATGTGTACATGGGGACCTCTCTTGGCAGAGGATCTCCAGCCTTTAGCCCCCACAGTGGTGTGATAGACTGAAGAGGTGCATTTGTTGCAATGCCCTGGAGACCTTTCTTGGCAGAGTTTCGACTGACTTGCTCCTCCAGGCACCGATTTCTTTATGGTGATCCCGCTTGGTCCTTCGGCCCAATCCTGACTTCTCTGAGAACACTCAGTCGGAGTGCACTGGCTCCAGTTGTACCAGGTGTCACCTTTTCTATTTTTGCCAGATGGTGTTGGAGGTCCTCTCGACCACCTGGAATGACCCTGTCCAGCTTGGCTTGTGGCATTTTTGCTTGGTCACTCTCAGTCGTGCGAGGAAGCGAGGAGGAGTGTTCAGCCTGGTTTTGCACCTGTTTCATGAAATCTGTAACCAGAACTGGGACATTAGTAAAATGTGAGTCATACTCACCTTAACTTGTCCTCCTTGCTGGTGCTGGTGTTCTACAGCCAGACCTGGGAACTGTCGACCTGGTGAAGGCGTAAACCCAGTCTCCTGATTGACTGAACACCTCATTGACATCAGGGCATTAACCAACTCAGTTTTGTCTGTGCACAGATTATAGCCTATTTCTTTTTGAGATTCTGATTCATTTGCTTCAGATTTCCCAGCTTCCACCCAGCGCTCAAATGCACCATGTATGCACAAATCAGTCAGGTGAGAAGAGTCTCAAAAGGATCTGGCTGGCAAAACTGATCTGTGTGTAATGTAGTTTTGTCCGTGTGTACCAGGTGACTTGTGTTTGGATGTGTAGGAGTTGAAGTTACACACGAAAATGTAAACTCAAGTTACAAATCAAGAGTTACACATGCTTAGATCAATCTACACACACAGATGTAGATACACACAGACAGATCAGACTTTTTTCTCCCCATACCCCTCGCACTGTGTTTCTGTAAAAAGAACCAGATGATCTTGTGCTATGAGCTTCTCGTTGTCACCATCAGGAAAAGGGCTGTTCAGTCCGTCCAAAAGCACACTGGTAATCGAATTAGATATTGCATCTACAACAGGAATAAACAAAAAAAAATGTTCCAGAATTGCATGTTTTGCATTGATGTATCTCACCACAAGCACAAGCTGAGTTTCTGTGGAGACAAGACGTCTGTGGTTTCAACAGCTTGGATGGCAATAAACTTCGGGATGACCTCCGTTTTAATGACTCCTGATGACCGTCAGCATGCTCTCCCAAAGCTTGTTTTGCACGGCCTTTGATGTGCCTTTAAAAACTGTTGCGTTTTTCAGGTGCTCCTCAAACATCTCATCTCTTGACCCACTAAGCTTCAAAAAATGCAGGTTTTTTTAGCCTTTGCTTTACCTTTAACTCAGACACATCACAAAACTTACGTCTATGAGGCGAGCGAGGAGATGATGTTTCTTGCTCACCTTATCGCTGTGACGGCGGACTGCCAGTCGATAACTTCATCCAACTCAGTGGCAATATTTACTCGGCCAAAAGTTCATAATTTCAGACAACTGTCCATAAGGATCTCAGATGACTTGTGTTTCTTCACTTTTTCAGACAAATGCTGTATGTTAGTGACTCCTGTCCATCAGGTGTTGTCTGCTGTAGCTCCATCCATGCACAAGATACAATCTCCGTGGAAATCCTCGATCATAAGATTTCTCACCTTTAATGGAGACTTGCCTGATGTTTAAATTTGGTCTTGGTGATCCTAATAGTTTTATTGTCGTTTTTCTTCATTGGTACAACGGTTAAAGGGATTTTCCTTCAGAGAGACAATGAAGTTGCTCGGAGAACTAGCCATGACCATCGGCCATGACTGTTAGCTCAGTTTGTAAAATGTAAGCTAGCTAGGTTTTATGTGACATGTGACAAAAGCACGCAAGCGTGAGCCCTACCAGAACCTATTGAAACTGATGTTAAGAAATAAACTTTTGCATTACAGTCCTTGTGAGCACTCAGGGTGATTCTCAGTCTGACATTGTCCAGAAAGGGGCAAAACATCAAGCAACAAGGCTTAAAACTGATAGGACAAGACAAACAAGCAGACCAAAGTAGTAGATCTGGACTTCATGTTAGAAAAAAGATGTATCTTTCTCCTTTGGTGGTGCATTGCCCGCTTGCCCTAATAATAAACCACCCATGCCTCTGGAATGCCTTCAGCATAAAAACAACCAATTAAACTAAATATAAATATTAACTATTGACTTATTCTTAACATCTTAACTTTTTTCTCCTGGACAGCTACCCATCCAATCACTTTGGGACGCTGACAGGCCTCCAGTCCATGATCAGCGCTGTAGTTGCTCTGTTGCAGCAGCCGCTCTTCATCGTTATGGTTGAACATATCAGCAACACCTACTGGGTGAGGAAATGACTTCATTTCTGCACATTTTACACAACACAGCAAAAAAAAAAAAAAAAAAAAAAAAAACTGAATTCACACACAGAAGATCAAACATGACTTCAGAGTAAACAAACTTGGTGGGGGGTATTAATATTGAGACTTTTTGTGCTCTACATTTTATTTATTTATTTCTACTCTGTATGGAAGGGGATTAGAGCCACGGACAAGAAAAAAAAAGAAAAGAAAGAGAATTCTGACTTTTTCTCAAAATTTTGTTTAATACAAATTTTCTTTTCATGAGGACAATTTAACATCCAGCTTTCCTGAACTTCTTCACATTATCTATCTATCTATCTATCTATCTATCTAAAGAGTTACAGCTACATGTCACACAGGAACTTTTAATTATAATTAATGTAATTTTTTTAAATTCCATCTAGGGGTGGGCAATATCATGTCAATCATAATATTACCAGTTATTTCCTGCCAAGAAAAACAATCTGTCATGTTATGCTAACTTCTTGATGTTATTGCATCCACTAAACAGAGGATTATGTTCATGTTGGTCATCAGCATGAAGTTATTGAAGTTATCAAAGCAAACATGGCTGGAATCAGTTTTACTGTAATCTGTTAATCTGAGTGTGTGTGCTGTTGTAATGAGTGGATGTCCCCACTGTGGGACTAATAAAATTTACTCTATTCTATTCTATTAATTCATATGAGTCAGTAGGAAAAAAAACGTTTGAGGAATTTTGGCCTTTCCAGGTTTCCGTACCAGTAACCTGGTTATGGAGGAGGGGTTCGACTCACAAACAGTAAAAACACACAGGTAAAGTGGTGAGTTAAAACATTAAAACGTTAGGATTCCTAATGTCTTAATTCACTGCGTCACCAACTAATGTAGAGAGGGATCATGTGAGTGAGTCACCACGGTAGGAAGCCCAGCTTGCTGTGAGCGACGATCTGTGGCTGATGAGTGAAAACAAAAGAAAAACATTCTGGACTGAAGCCCCGTCAACACTGGCTGGCGACGCGGCTGCATTTCTAAATAAAGCATGTCATTTTGGTGTTGCTTGCAGCCGCAGCTCACGGTTCTAGGAGAAAGAACCGTGCATGCCCGTCCAATCAACAGCAGGTGGAGCTCACCGCTCCGCCCATCCCACAACCAGAGTAGAAAAAAGCACATCAGCTTGGATTATACAGATGGGATTATGTGTGAAATAACACCAGTTAAATTATTACTTAAGTGTTGTTGTGTGCATGTTGTTCAGTAGCTAATGCTATAATGAATATCATGGGTTATTTTTTCGTGAGTCCTACACACTGTGCGTGATGCGCGTTTGGGGAGCGCAGGCGCTGGTTTAGCACGAGAGATTGGAGGTGTGGCGTGAGAGCGTGTGAAGAGGGTCAAATGTGTGTGTCTCACGCTCAGTGCGTGAGAGTTGGCAGCCTTGTTAACCGTGCCAAACAGAAAACTAAGAAATCAGCAAGAAATATACCTTATTAGCAGAAAAAAGTACTAATAAAAGTAAAATCCCAAGTTATTATGTGCTTAAATCCCATTTTATCCTTACATAAACTGTTGTATAATTTATTTATTGTCCCCTCATAAATAAAAAGGTGAAACCAATTTCTCTGTCCGCTTGCTCTTTCAGATCAACGTTGGGCTGCTGATCTTCTCGTTTTCTGGATTCCTGTTGCCAGGTTACCTGTTTTATCACCGTAGAAACTTGCTGAAGGAGAAGAAGAAACCATCACCCAGTCAGGAGATGGAGACCCTGAAACACAGTGAAGCTAATGGTCACTGTAATGGCTTTACGGCCACCGATGCCTAGGCTCCAGCAGAGCTTCAGACTCTTTTAGTTTGTGCCTTCAGAACGAACACCAGCAGGCCTCTCATGTAAATTCACATTTAGGCAACTCTTTTTATACATAGTTTTTGTTTGTTTTCAAGGTCATTGCTGATGTCCATTTTGCTCATGCTGATCTATGTCATGGAGTTGTTACAGTTCAGTCAGACTTGGGGGGGGGGGGCGTGTCATCACCTTTTTGCTGCTGTTTGTGTATTTTATTGTGCTTCAGCTCCATGAGCCAAACTTGTGTCCATTAAAGCCATAGACCTTAATTGCAGAGTGCAGATATCACGGTACTTGAAATACTGATCTGTAGTTTTCTGACAATCCTCACAATCCTGCTGAAACACCAAAGAACATAAGAACGTTTTAGTCAGTATTGTTTCAAAACTTTAACAGGATATAGATTTTTCTGTTAAATTACCTCTGAAAACATGATCCAGATGCTTCTTTAAAACATCTTCATTATCATACACTTATTTCTGAGCCTGTTTTTTCACCCCCACACTCAAAAAAAGTGAATCTACCTCCCCCGTTCCTTTTTTTTTCGTTTGTAATTTTTTTAATAGAAAATATAAATTGAAATTTCCTTCAGAGACAAAAGCGATGCAACCCAAACATTTCTGTATTTCTGTTATTTAAATAGGAAGAACATTTTTTTCAGGAAGATGTGATTGAAACCCTTTGTACAGCTTTATGCACAGAAATGAACTAGGGTGTGTATAAAACAATGTATGCAGGTGTATTTTTTATATTCTAGCTGCAGGAGTGTTTAAAAGGGAAGATTATTTTGTAGAGGGCTTGTTGTAAAAGAGCTCAGCTGATTCCGCGTTTTCTGCTTCTGTTGGTCTTAAGTCGGTTTCACACTGCAAGCATCAGCGGAACAGAACGGCAGCGGAGCGGCTCACTCGCGAACTTCAGAGCGGTCCTCTTCACACCGGGAGAGACTTGGCCGCAGCACGGCTTCCTCGCTACACCTCGCTGTACCCGCGAGATTCTAAAATCCCTAGAGACTTCCGACACCTTCCTCATCGAGAGATCACAACCCCCGCGAGGAATCACACCGTTGCACTTCTAAGAAACTGGTGGTAAACAATGCCGTTCGGTCACACGTACTGACGTAAGTTAGATATCCAACAGCGCAACGTTGCATTTTATTTTGAAAATAACCGGGGATTTTACACTGAAACCGTGTGGTTTCCCGTCTCGCACTATGTGATCTGCGGAAATTGACGTGTCCCAGAAGCGACTCGCGGAAAAAATAGAACTCGATCCTATCTTGCGCGGCATGCCGCTTCTGGGACGTGCCTGGAAGTTGTCGCGTCGCGGCTGGTTTGAAACACTCCATAGACTATAATTAGATTCTATTTGAAGCGGTGCCGCTTCACTGCCGTTCCGTTCCGCTGATGCTTGAAGTGTGAAACCGGGGTAAGACGTGAACAAACCTTTTGTAAATAGAAGCGAGGTGCGACTCGGATTATTCTGGGTGTGTTCAGGCTGCGGCTCCTCCCGTGTAATTTTACAACAAAAATGAAAACATCTGGCTATGGCGTGCTTTTAGTCAGTTGTAGGAAAACAGAACAGAAGGTAGACGTTGGCTGTACAGATTGTGAGATCAGTTGTAAAATGTTTTTCCAAATATTTTGAAAAGTGCTGTTTGAATCTTTTAGGCTCCTTTAAATGATTTATGTGATGTTTTTGTCTTCATCTCAGCTTTATTGTAAATTTGAGAAAAAAAAAACTTCTGCCAAATTTCTGCCTTTATAAACCAAAGTTGTCTTTTGAGACTGGAACAGCGTTTCACCTCGGGGCGGGACGGCGTGAATATTAAGCAATGAAAACTCAGTTTGATTCTGATTGTTAGTTTGTAAAGTTAACTGGATCTCAGTGGTGACGTTTTCTTGGTAAAACATGCAGGTTTTCTTCAACAACTATCGTTTTTCACTTTTCATCACCCTGGAGTTTGGTTTTTAGACTCAGTTGTTTGTTGGTATTAAGTTGAATTCAAGCATCATTTACTTGGCTTGTATTTGAAGTTTGTATCACATCCAGGATTTCATCCATAGCATTGTGGGTTGAAGCGTTCAGCTACATTTTCATCCTGGCTTTGGTCAGTTCATCTACTCTGTGCTGCATTTGATAAACATAAAAATGTTAAACTGAATGTGTTGTTTGCTGTTACTGTGTTAAACCTAAGGGAGTTCAAATAACCGCAGACACTGAAACACACACAAAGATAATCAAAATTTATTTGATTTTGGCTTTGTGGTCAAAAGATAAACTTAAAGAAATACATACTCTCACTGTTCAATGGTTCATCTGCTTCTTCTGTAATGTCTCATAACATTTACACCCAGTGGCCACAGACTCAGCACACATTCTGCAGCCATCCATTACTTCCATAAAACATACTCTTAATACATTTATCTGTAAAACACACATGCATCCTCTTACAAAAGTCACACACACACAAACACACAGTGGGCTTCTGTCTATCTGAGGCTGTTGCTGTTGGGTTGTGATCCAGTGAGGCCCGGGTGGTCTGGACTGTGGCGGTTCTGGAACCGAGAGGAAGAAAAAAGGTTTACATAATAGGTTTTTGAAGACGAGTGTTTAGTTTCTCATAAACTACATGAGTTTAAATATAATCTGATTAAAACACCTGAGACTGCATCCTGAGTGCACATGGGGTTCATTTCTGCAGATATGCACAAGCTACTCCACAAATAAATGTAGGATTTCAGATGTAGATTTTATATAAAATCAATCTTTAACAAAAGAAAAAGTTTATTCCTAGTTAAGAGATTTGTCCCGATGCCCACCCCGGATGAATCCGGGCTGTCTCTAGCCTCTGTGGTATTTTGGTCTTCTACCTACCATCTAGAGAAGGTGGTCCTTATTGACATTTTATTTATTCACATTAGTCTCAGGGAAAAAACTAAAAAAAATTATTATTTTTTTTTACAAGAAGAAGCTGACATTTAGAAACAGGTAAACAGTCTAAAACAGCTCTGGAAGTGAAAGGCAAAATTTAAATGAAGCAACAAAATCTGAAGCTGCAGCAAATTCTTTAATCACTTCCAGAAGCAAGATTGTAGGTTTTATTTTTTTAGGTGAAGAATAAAAGCTTGAAAACCTTATATTTTACTTTGTAATATTGAATTAGCTACTTGAGACCAGAGAAAATATTAGCTTTGTATATTTTAATTAAATAAATACAACACTTGGTTCCCAAAATAAAGTGATTACCAATAAAATTACATTGAAAACATTGATACTTTAAAACCATGATAAAATCACAGAAGTCATCAAAAAGCTTGTTATAAACGCAGTTTAATTCTAATTGATGAAATATGAAACAACTTCTCAAAGCCCATATGTGATTACAGTGAGAGCTGTATTGTGTTAAATAGTACCCAGCATAAATGAGTACACCCCACTACATTTGTCAGAAAACCTTTAGTTTTCTTTCAGAATCAACATTTCTATGAGATACCAAAAAATACTCCCACAAATGTGGGCCATTGAACAAGATTTGTTTATCTGCACACAAAAAAATGATTTTCCTAACAAATCTGGTCAAGACCATGTTGTAAAAATGAGTACACCCTATTTATAGTCTTAGGAGAAAAGTCACACTGAAGACTACACAATTCTAATTAACAGGCATTCAACCACAGATGAGTCTAATGTCTTCTTTAAGAGGTGTCCTGCAGACAGGTGATTATAAAAGGGAATTACTTAAAGGGACTTTACAGAGTTTTGAATTTTTATGCTCGCGATTGCCCCCTCAGGCCAAAAGGTAACGGCAGCTTCAATAGTGGGCTCGTGCACGAGGCGCGCATGCTGTACGTGCACACTCCTTAATGAAAATAGCAGCTGAGACAGTCAGCTCCGTGTGTGTGTGTGTCGGAGAACAGAGGACAGGAGAACGTGCAGCTAATTAATTAAATAATTAGGTTCTGCACCTTTCTCTTCAGCACAGCCGACAAAGGTTTATGATGGGATAGTCCTCCTGCATGCTCAGATCATTCCCTTCCCTTGCTTGAAAAATTGTTCCAAAATGAAAGTTGAACCCACATCTTTTTTATCTGTGAATTCAATGCTGTTTGGCGAGTCTCAAATAAAAATTTGGGCATCTTACTGTAAAAAATATACCATTAATGTAAAAACGAAACTCTAACTTAACTATGTCCACATCCAGAATCGAGACAAAAGCGATGCAACCCAAACATTTCTGTATTTCTGTTATTTAAATAGGAAGAACATTTTTCCACTTCCGCACGAAAGTCCGACATCTTTCTAGGCGAGCTAAAGCGCCAGTGACATCTTTCATATTTGTACCATTTATATCCTTGATGACAGCTGAAACAACGTTCAAAGAACGGTTCGGAGGACGATGCCTGAGCGTGAACGCGCACGAAGCAGCCTGCTCGACCCGAGCAGCTCTCTTTTTCTGTGATTTTACAGAAAAACAGGCAATCACAGTAAAAATGCCAGGGCTCATTCTACAGGACCAGGGCATTGCAGGAGAATGTATGAAGAAGAAATGTATTATTTCTATACATGTTTTGGCTGTCAAACTTCCATAATGCCCCTTTAAAGAAAGCCTTTCCCATTTCATGCTGCCAGCAATGGCTCCACATGGAAGAGAAATGTCATAAAATCTGAGAAAGGAAATAATGTATTTACACATAAAAGGTGAGGGCTACAAGATCAGCCAAGCTTTACATATCAGTCAGAATACTGTAGCAAAAGTGACCAAAAAATGTAAGACCAAAAAATGTAAGAAAGACGAAAGTGCAACCATCTTACAGAGACGTCCAGGCCGTCCATGGAAGTGAACATCTCAAAAGGAGCGTCTTCTGAAGACCGAAGAAAATCACCATTAAAGTTCACTGCAGTTAGTTAAAGCAGTAGAAAGCCAAACTGGAGTGACCGTTTCCCATGACACCATACAACGCACACTGCAGAGGAATGGCATACATGGGTATTGTCTACGAAGGAAGCCTCTCCTAAAGCTCATGCACAAAAAGCACACCTAGGATTTGCTAGGGCCCGTGCTGAAAGAGATGAAGACTACTGGCACTCTGTACTCTGGAGTGATGAGACAAAGATCACCGTTTGTGGAAGTAATGGTTTCAAAACTGTATGGCGTTGTAAAGGTGAGGATTTCAAAGAGAAATGCATGGTGCCTACAGTGAAACGTGGTGGTGGTGGCAGTGTCCTTATGTGGGGCTGCATGAGTGCTGCTGGTGTTGGGGAGCTGCATTTCATTGATGGCATCATGAACTCAACGATGTCCTGTTCTATACTGAAGGAGAAGATGCAGCCATCACTCCATGCACTTGATCATTGGAGGAGTTAATGCAAAGAAGGATTCTCCAGAGAATCAAGAAAATGATGGACAACCCTGAGCATTCTCTTCACAAGACTGTCCGACAACGGAAGAGTGTCTTCAGTCAGAGGCTTCTTCAGTTTGGCTGCAACACTGACCGCTACTGGAGATCCTTCCTGCCAACAGCCATTGTAATATACAATAACTCTTTGATGACTTGATTATTATTATTATTCTGAGCTACTACAGCAATCAATTTCCCTCTGGTATTAATAAAGTATCTTTGAATTGAATTGAATTTGAATCATTGTGCACGTTTCCACCACGACAATGATCCAAAACGCATCTAAAGCTACTGTTGCATTTCTGAAGAAGAACAGGGTGAAGGTGACTGAATGGCCAAGTATGTCTCCTGATCTGAACACCTGTGGGGAATTCTGAAGGTTGAGCATCACTCTCCATCCAGCATCCAGATTATAAAACACGTTATTCTTGAAGAATGGAAAAAGATAGATGTTAATGTTTATGTTTATTTATTTAGCAGACGCTTTTATCCAAAGCGACTTACAATTTATAACCTATAGGGCATGTTGTGATCTGTGGGGGAAACCGGAGTACCCGGAGGAAACCCGAGCATGCATGGGGAGAACACGCAACTCCACGCAGAAATAGCGACAGTGCAACAACTGTGCCACCATGCAGCCCGATGTTGCAATATGTCACCATCTTGTTCATGCCATGCCTAGAAGACTTGATGTAGTAGTTTTTGTTGAGGGGTGTATTCCTTTTTGCTAAAACCAATTTTAGCAAAACTGAAGATTTTGTGATCCAAGTCATATTAATAGCCTTAATTTCATGTTATGGAGTTAAGCAAGTGTTTAATAAAACCCAGCCTTGTTAAAATTCTGGAAATTTTTTTTAGTTCATTGAGCTACTGATTAAATTTGTACTCTTCAAAGGGGGTGTACTCATTAATACTGAGAACTGGATGAAAAAACAAAACTGCTGTGCGACTTATGTCACAATGCTATTCCGAGTCAACATTTTAAATCTTTTTAATGCCCAGCTAGAAACTTAATTAGTGTTTAAAATTTTCTCACCTTCTTTTTTTTCTTGTCTTTCTTCTTTTTCTTGCGGTCAGGATCATCGTCCCTCTTTTTCTTCTTTTTCTTGGGATCAGAGTCTGACGGAGTTTCTAAAATCAGAACAGACGTGTCAGTGTGGTGAAAAACACGTAGCACTTGTTTCAGCTGACCTCACTAACACGCCACCAGACCTTGTGGGAGGGGGTCCTGTGGTCGATTGTGCTTGTGTTTGTGTTTGCTCTTCTTCTTTGGGGGCTGTATGTGCATCAGTCTGTACTGTTCTGGAAGCTGGAAAAAAAAAAAAAACACTACATGTTACATAACGGGGATAAGATGATCATTTATTATCAGGCATAATCAGTGTTGTGGTACCGGTCCTGTATGTAGTCTGAATCCTGTGAGCAGAGCACCAGTCAGCGGGCTGAACGAGTTCCCACAAACGGGAGGCTTATCTATCAGAGAGCGTAGAGAGCTGCCGTCCTGAGTGCCCGGACAGTCGATCATACCTGCAACAAAAGAGACACTATAAAAGTGGAAATAAAGAGCGTGGCTGAAAGGGATCCGTGTAATTTACAGGCCATAGTGAGGAGTCCAGGTGAGATTAAAGAGGCTAAAAAAAACAACCAATCAGAAACAATGAAAGTTAAACTTTTGGTTTTAGAGATACAGCCTCAGCCCTCAAAGTCTAATTCATTAGAGCGCCCAGAAGTCCCAGCACCTGTCAGAATGCAGGTTTAGATTAACTATAGCTTAAGCCACTGGAGTCAAACCCTGGCCCTCGAGAACTGACCTGCCAGTGCATATGTTGCCAATACTACAGATCCCAGAATGCTTTGCTGCATTATCAGCAGCATCCATGCTACCAGTCTCGAGGAGGGTACGGCTGCGGACCTGGAGACCACAGATTCGGTCTCAGACAAACAAAAAAATGGCTGCTTAGTTAGCACCCAGCAATTTGCCAACTTTGAAGCCCAAATATCAAGATTTCAACAGCTCAGTAATCTATTTGTGGCCGACGTGAAAAGCGCAGAAAGCAACCTCCAAATGGAGCCAAATGAGCTCCGGTGTAGTAAAACGCTCAAATTTGACTCTGTGGCTTCTGCTCAGTTTCCATCTGATGTGTTTTATTTCAAAGTTAACTGCCCGTGTGTTGTTAATTTTAAACTTTGGTTATTCCAGAGTAACTATTAATGCAAGACTATGGTTTGTTTCCATATAAAACATTCAACAACACAAATCAGAAGATAAAGAAAATTTTAAGCATTTGCATCCATAAACATTTTCCCATGACTTTGTTCTAGTTTCTCCAGTTTGGCCCAGAGTGAATTTCAGTTTGACACCCCTGGCTTAAACGATGACAAATACAGGTAGAAAATCCTGAAAAAGTATAGTATTTTGTCACTTGTTTAAAAAAATTCATCTGACCTATTATGTAAATTAGGGATGCACGGATAACTTTTTTACCACAAGGAAGGGAAACCATAGAAAGTCATTGCTAAAGAAGCATGTCAGTTCCACTTTACTAAGTCCATCAGGGACCGGACAAGTTGCAAGTGTGATATTCTGGCCACAGGGGGCGGTGGGGGTCTGAGTGACATTTTTTTCACCCTAAGGGTCATTTTAGTACATACTGGCTAAAGAAAACGATGTAAAAATATGAAAAAGTTGCAGAGTAAGCCTCAAGTCCAGGTGTGGTGTTGATATCTAATGATTTGGGCTCCATGTCCTCTCCTGGTGTTGGTCCATTGTGTTTTCTGAAGTCCACAGTAAACTCAGAAATTTACCAGGTACAGCTGAGGAAATTAATCAATAATCGATGCATCAAGATGCAGACATTAATTACAAATCATTGAAAAGGCCCACCATGATAAATTATTGTATAATGCAGTTTTTTAACAGCAGCATAAATATTTGATTCTAAAGTTGCTCCAAAGACCTTCAAAGCTATTACATGGCCCCATAACAGATTTTGTCAACTATGGAAGGCAAGAATTGGACATGTCCTGTAGGTTTTCAGTATTTATTAAGATGTTGGTAGCATTTGCAGAGCTTGTTTTTCCCCACAGCCTGAGATGTAAGTGTTGAATGAGAAAACAGATTTTGTTTTCTTCGTTAAATCTTTTTAAATGTTTAAAATGTTTTGCACTCTTACATTGTTCTAAGGACTGTTGTGATTGAAGGGCTTCTTGGGGAATGACATGTTGCGTCAGACACGTTTTGATAGAAAAGCAAATATCTGACATCTTTTATTAATTGATGAAAGTAAACCCATAAGAAATAATCGTGATGCATTGAGATATCAAATTGAATCGTTGACAATCAGTTCAGTGGCCTAGTGGTTTGAGTGTCCACCCTGGGACTGGATCGGGAATCGAGTGGGAGTTCAAATCCTGGTCGGGTCACACTTAAAACTGAAAAATGGGACCCAGTGCCTCCTCACTTGACACTCAGCATTAAGGGGATGGATTGGGGATTAAACCAAATAGTTCCAGAGCGTGGCTGTGTCGGCAGCTCACCGCTCCCCAGAGGATGGGTCAAATGCAAAGATCAAATGTCACACACACACACACACACACACACACACACACACACACACACACACACACACACACACACACACACACACACACACACACACACACACACACACACACACACACACACACACACACACACACACACACACACACACACACACACACACACACACACACGTGTGTGACAACTAGTGGGACTTTTGACATGATTGTATTTGTATCAAATCACGAAACTAGTGGAGATTCACACCTCTACTACCAGGACGTTTTAGAGCTCTTCATACGTCCTTTTGATGATGAGCTTGATGGAGATGCTGGTTTCTTTTTCCCCAAAAGGATCCTGTACTTGCTCACACAGGTACCAGAAACTGATTCAATGATCCTAGTGTTACTGGGCTTGATTGACAGCTAATGGGCCATTCCCATCTGTACCGGGTCGGCCCGGGCCGGGTAGCGTAGGTTGTTTACATATCTGGGTGGCCTGGTATTTTTCCGGGCCAACCAAGGCTCATTCTCAGCCCTCTTCTCGAGGGGGTCTGCTTCAGGCAGACCAGATCCAACACACCCACTGCTGACAGCAAATTCACACCTTCCATTAGAGCAAGCCTCTGATTGGTGGGTAGAATCAGCCCATATGGGCTTAAGGCAAGGATGTGTGGAATCAACCGGGCCAGGCTGGGGCCGACTGGGGCTACCCGGCCCGGGCCGACCCGGTACAGATGGGAATGGCCCATAACTGGTCTGACCTGACACCCCTCCTTCCCCCCACCCCCCCATGGAGAATCTGGGTTACTGTCCAAAAGATGAGACACAGACCCAACACTGCATATGACATGAAGGCTGCTGTCAAAGCAACCTGAGCTTTCATCACACCTCAGCAGAGCCACAGGCTGATGGCCTCCATGATGCAGCCATTCACGCTAAAAGGTTAAACCAAGTACTGAGTTTATAAACCATCTCACGTAATCTTAAGTAGTTTTCTGAAACACTAAGCGTTTTCTCATCTTCTCTTTACATAGCATGTCTGCACAGTGCTAGAAACCAAGTTTTCGTTATTTTCTTTCGTGGTTTTTAGTGGTCAAAGGTTAACAATTCTAGACTGCTGCCTATGTGTAAAAATAATTGTACCTTTGTTATCACTTTTCTTCAAATTATTCCCGTAAGTGTTGGTGCTGTTGTAACAAGTGAATTTCCCCACTGTGGGATCAAAGTCTATTCTGTCTGTAGCCATAACCAACATTAAAAAAATAAAGACCTAAAGTATTTCACTGTCAAGAATCACTGAGAAACGAGAAAAAAGTCCACTTTCATGATCCAACAGCTCACCTGGTAAATCTGGCAGAAAGCTGCTGAGCTTCTCCTTCACCTTCTTCCCACAGGACTTGTTGTAGGAGTGCTCCAGGTTGTAGTGTGTGATGAGGTTGGTGTTTCCTGTCAATTCGTTTCCAACTAAAAACAGAAATGTATGCATGTATAAAATCAACTTCCCACAAATAGCCTAAGTATTGGACAGTAACATCCATCCGCTTCTCGGCAGATGCTCATCCATATGAAGGCAATGTTTACATAACGTTTACGTTTATGAATACACATTAAAATAATATAGTTTAGAAGAGCAGCTTTGCTGTAAACACTTTTGTGTCACACCATTAAAAAGTTTCTTTCCGTTTGACAAACGGAAGGCTAATTACCAATTAGCTTACTCCATAATACAGCCTAGCATGTTAGCTAGCCTTGTTTACAAAGTACTTCGTCAACATTTGACGGCAGTTAAACTAATTTAGAAAACATACAACATATCCAGAAAGTATAACAATCCGACCGTACCTGGAAGCTCTCGTAGTAAATAAAAAGGTTCGTTCATGACTCCGGGCTTCCGCAGAACAGGGCCTTCATCCCCGAGCTGTGGTGGCATCTGCCCCGCCATAGGGACTTGGTTTTGAGGCATTGGTGGTGGGGGTTTCCCTGGTCCAAAGGCTAAAGACGAAGACCCAGGCGGTCCCTGAGCCTCGGTTTGCCCAAACAGATTTGAAAACATCTCCGTCATATTTATCACTAAAAAATATCAAAGGAAAGAGAACTGGCTTCCTTTAGCTTAAAGCCCACCTATGAGGTGCGGTAAATCACCATGTATCCACGCAACGCCACTACTCCGCTCCTCACTTCTTTGTGGCTTTATTTTCGGGTCCAATTTACCGTAATACAACGTATAAACACGTCACGCACAATATAGAGGCGAATTTAAACATTCAAAATAGTCACTTAATGGAGTTATATTTATTATACAAATTATTACAGAAAACAGAATAAATATAGTCAACTTTGAAAACACAAAGTATTAGAAATCACACATCAAATACATCAGCAGGGTGGAAACAAGAAGCCATCAGTTCAAATTCTGCCAATGAAGCCTGAAAAGAAAAGATAAAAAAAAAAAAAACACAACCTAAAATTACGAACACCTTAGAAATGCATTTGCTTGTTACTTCTATATTTGCGTTATGATCGATTTTTCTATAACTTTTTTTCCATACCCTCCACTCTTCCACAGCTGTGGAAATGTGTTGTTCGGTCTGAGCAATGCCTTCTCTACCAGCCTGAACCTGCTCTGCCAGCGCAGCATTCTCTGCTCGAATCTTCTTTAGCTCCAGTTTCACGTAGGCCTCCTGCTTCTGATAGTATGGCATCAAAAAGCTGCAGAGGTCCTGCTCAGGATCCCCACTTGGCCTCCTTAAATGCATTAGAGAGGAAGCAATTAAACAGCAACAAACTTAATGTTGATTAAAAATAGGAAAAGCACATATATATAAAATAACACACACACACACACTGACCAAACAGACTCTGGACTATCCTTGGCAGCATTCTCCAGCTTGTCCAACTCATTCAGTTTATACTCCAACATGCCTTCTTCCATCAGTCTAGTGATGTCCTCCTGATGTAAACAAAAACAGATCAGAAAGAGTCTTCATTTATTGTACTATTTTAATGAAATATAATTTACAACATTCAGCAACAGATTTGTCCTGCTGAATGAGAAATTAATTTGATACATTCAGCTAGACCCTGGTGTTTATTTCTATAGGCTGTTAAATGATTTGCTTGAAGTTTGTTCTTTTCTGTTGTTTCCAAAACATTATTTCAACAAGTTAATTTACCTTCTTTTACAAATTACTGTTGTATGTGTGGAGTTAAAACATCTATCTGTATCATTTTACTAAAAAATTGTTAGAATTCACATTATCTCCAGTTTTAACGGACATCCCAAGTGGCCAATGTCTTCTCTCAGTCAGTTATCAGAAACCTTAAAAAAACAACTGAAATTCCAGCAGAACTGTGACTTTAAATTAGAAATTTGTATTTCAAATAGAAACAAACCAAAGCAGAAGCAGAAACAAAAACGCAAAGAAAGTACATTGGAACAAACTCTGAACTTGATGATCATAATAAGGACATGTATGTTTATTTCATGTCTCCCTATAGCGCAGGCCTGCAGCAGCTGCTCAGGGCATGTGCTAAGTATGGTGAGCAATCTGACATCCTGTTTAACCATAAAAAGAGTGTGGTTATGATTGCTGCTACTAAAGGGGACCTGACGCTTAATTTTCCATCTTTTAACTTAACAAATCAGGTCCTCGAAGTGGTAAGCAAAGTAAAATATTTGGGGCACATTTTAAGAAGTGACCTCTGTGATGACGAGGATATTAAGAGGCAATGCGGTAAGCTGTACATGCAGGCTAACACTCTGGCACGTAACTTTGGCATGTGCTCAGATCCTGTTAAAGTGTCCCTCTTTCGTTCCTTTTGTACTCCTCTCTATACAGCCCACTGGTGGTGCAACTATAGTAAGGTAGTAATGAAGAAGCTTCAAGTGGCTTATCAGGATGCTTTTAGAATCCTCATGAAGCTCCCTAGATGGACATCTGCAAGTCATATGTTTGTTGTGAGTAACATCCCTACTTTTCATGCGCTTCTGAGGCTCTTCATGTATAAATTCATCTGCCGACTGAGTTTGTCAGCTAACGCGGTTGTTAGAGCTCTGCCATCTGTAACTTACAGTGACACGAGGTACTCCTCAGTCCTTTTTAAACATTGGAACAACTGCCTATATGGTTTTTAATTAGAATGTATTTTTTACTTCTTTTTTTTATTTTATTCCTGTTATGGACATATCCCTTGTCTGAAATAAAGTTTGAATGAATGAATGAATATTTAATTTCCTCACCTGTATAGTTTTCTGCAGCTCCTCTGTGAACTGCTTGTGGATGCTCTCCATCATCTGAGGATTTTTCTTGTACAGCGGATGAAACATGCTGGCAAATCCTTTAAAACTAAGACAAAAGAGAAGAATTACCCATGACATGTTGCCAAGACAGAGCTCTACAGATGCCATTTTCACAAATAGGATACTGATGGAGAATAACAGAGAAGGTCAGAGGGCGCTGCATTGAGTCGTTGCAAACTGCAGAGAGAGGAGCTGTGGTGCATGATGAGGTCTGGAGTAGCAGAGAAGTATGTTAGAGAGCATGAGAGCTGTGAGACAACAGTGAGGTGTGCTGTAGCACTGACAGAGGAGTTGAAGGTGGAGGTGAGATCGCATCAAGGATCGGCTCTGAGCCCCGTCTTGTGTGCTTTGCTTTGGTGATGGACAGGCTGATGATGTTTGCAGATGACATGGTAATCTGCAGCACGAGCAGGTAGAGGAAAAGCTAGAGAAGTGTGTGTATGCATTTGAGAAGAAAGGAATGACGATTGGTCACAGCCAGACAGAATCCGTGTGTGTAAATGAGAGGGAAACAACGGCGCAGGAGTAAAGATGGCAGAGGACTTTAAGGACTTAGGGTCTACGGTCCAAAGCTAAAGAGTGTAGAAAAGAGGTGAAGAAATGTGTGCAAGCAGGTTGGAATGGATGTAGAAAGTGTCAGGCGTGATGTGTGGCAAAATGGTTTCAGGTTAGGGTTTCCTCTAGTATTTTTGGAAACTGTGGTGGTGGGCTGTCGGTCGGGATGGGTGGGTGCAGAGATGTACGGAGACGGTCGCTCTGAAACATAAGACTGTATGTTTTTTGTGAACATTCCCGCAGGAGTGTGTAAAACAGCTTATTGTTTAATTAAAATAAAATAAAAATATATATTTAACTTGAAATAAATTGTAATGCTCGATTCCCACCTTGACTGTTGTGGTACAGCCATGGGCGGAGCTTGGTGATTTCAGTCCATTTCGGGTCCCAGACAGATTCTCTGCGTTTACTTTTTCTTCCCCTCACTGCTTCCCTGATGCTGTCTCCCTCATCATGCTCACTTATCTATACTTCACCAGGTCAGGGTAACCAAAACTCACATCATCTATCTATCAGCAGTAAAGAGCTACAGCTACATGTCACAAATGTCTCCTGGGAACTTTTAGTTATAATTAATATAAAATTATTTAAATTCCATCTAGGGTCATTCATAATATTACCAGTTATTGTATTTTGCTAAGCAAAAGTAATCCATCATGTTAAGCTAACTTCCTGATGTAATTGCATCCACTAACAGAGGACTGTGTTCATGTGGGTCATCAGCATGAAGTTATTGAAGTTATGAAAGCAAACATGGCTGGAATCAGTTTTACCTGTAATCTTGTTTTTACTCTCTAAGTGTACGTGCTGCTGTGATGAGTGAATGTCCACACTGTGGGATTAATACATCTATTCTGCTCTATTCCATAAATCCTTATCAGCCAGTAGGAAAAATACGTTTGAGGAATTTTGACCTTTCCGGTCTTCCGTGCGAATAACCTGGTTATGGCAGAGGAACTAGTCTCCTAAACCGAACAAACACACTGGTTACACAGTGAATTAAAACGCATGTTTTAAATTAAAACACGTTATAGAAATTTGATGTTTTATTATTGTTTGATCATTAATCCTATTGACTGAAAGCATTCTCATTCGTTCACACACACACCCACACATTCCTGTAACCATTCACACACACACGTTCATTCCCCACACACACCTTCTTATCTCATGTTATAAACTTGAAGGGCAGATGCTCTTTGCGGTGGAAGCCTCAACCCTTTGCTTGAGCATCTGTCCTGATTTGAAAACAGTAACTTGTGTAGTTATTTGTCTCTCTTTTCTCTTTGCTGCAGGTATTAGGTGATTAAGAAAATCCCTAACAACACGTGTTTTTATTCAACAGGTAACCAACTAATGCAGGAGAGGACATGTGAGTGAGTCACCACAGTAGAAAGCCCAGCTTGCTGTGAGTGAGAGTAGCGAGCATGTGGCTGATGAGTGAAAACAAGACAAAAAACATTCGGAACTGAAGCTCCATCAGAATCGGCTGGCGACGCGGCTGCATTTCTAAATAAAAGCGTGTAATTTTGGTGCCACTGTTCTGGGAGAGAGAACCGGGCCTGCCCGTCCCATCCGCCGCAGGTGAAGCTCACCGCTCCGCCCAACTCACAGCCAGAGCGGAGAGAAGCACAACGGCTTGGATTATACAGATGGTATTATGTGTGTGAAATAACGCCAGTTATATTTAAATTCATGGTTAGTATACATGCACAAATATTGTCTATATATGTCTCGTATTTACATTGTTTTAATGTATATTTAAAAAAGGGTTCTCGACCGGAAAAGGGTGGCTTGCCAACTCCGGGGTGGGGGAGAGGTCCTACCTCAAGTGGAGGAGTTTAAGTATCTTGGGGTCTTGTTCACGAGTGAGGGTAGGAGGGATCGGGAGATTGACAGGCGGATTGGTTCGGCGTCTACAGTGATGCGGACGCTGAGCCGATCTGTCGTGGGGAAGAGGGAGCTGAGCCAGAAAGCCAGGCTCTCGATTTACCGGTCGATCTACGTCCCAATCCTCACCTATGGTCATTAGCTTTGGGTAATGACTGAAAGACCGAGATCGCGGATACAAGCGGCCGAAATGAGTTTCCTCTGTAGGGTGGCCGGGCTCAGCCTTAGAGATAGGGTGAGGAGCTCGGACATTCGGGAGGGACTCGGAGTGGAACCGCTGCTCCTCCGGATCGAAAGGAGTCAGTTGAGGTGGTTTGGGCATCTGGTCAGGATGCCTCCTGGACGCCTCCCCGGGGAGGCGTTTCGGGCATGTCCTGCCGGCAGGAGGCCCCCGGGTCGACCCAGGACACGTTGGAGAGGTTACATCTCCAATCTGGTCCGGGAACGCCTTGGGGTCCTGCCGGAGGAGCTGGTGGAGGTGAACGGGGAGAGGACGGTCTGGAGCTCCCTAGTTGGGATGCTGCCCCCGTGACCCGGATAAGCGGAGGAAGACGACGACGACGACAGAAACCCTGCAGGTGTAGAAGACAGTAGTGAGACTAGTGAAGTCTGGTTAAGAGACCATGTCCATGACAAAAAGACGGGATGCAGAACTGGAGGCTGCAGATATTGAGGTTCTCTGATGAGTATGGACAGGATCAGGAATGAGGACAGAGGGACAGCTCATGTTAGACGTTTTCGAGATAAAGTCAGAGAGGACAGACTGAGATGGATATGCCCAGAGGAGAGACGTGGGTAGGGAGGATGCTGAAGATAAAGCCACCAGGCAGAAGGCTGAGAGGAAGACCAAAAAGGAGATTTGTGGATGTGGTGAAAGAGGACATAGCTGGTGTGAGGGTAGAGGAGACTGAAGACAGGACCAGACACGTGATACGCTGTGGCGACTCCTGCTTTTAAAATGTTTCCTATAGAATAGTTTGTATTTCATGCATCTAATTTACTTAAGGAGACAGCGGATTACACTGTAAACTAGTATAATCTATACATCTACATTATATAAATTTTACTGTGACGCTCTTGACATAATTTGACCTACTTTTCTACATCTGGAACAATGAAGTTCCAGTTGTCTGACCTCGTTTTCCCCCTTATTAAACTAAAATGTAAGACTAACACAGTCAAAGGCTCAATTAAACACAGATTTTCAACCAGAAACACACCTGGCATGTTCGATGAACTTGTTCAGGCTCTTCTGCATGACTTTGTCGAACAGCTTCAACCGGCTGTACCGAGCAGCCTCCTCCTCCGTCGGTTTGCCGGCTGCTTCTGGCTTCGGCGTGACCGCGGAGACTTGCTCCACCGCCGCCTGGTTTGCAGCAGAACCATTCCCATTGTTCTCGACAGCGGCATGTTGACTCGAAACGCTGCCGTCCTCCATGTTTATATTTTGACTGAAACCGCCACTTCTACGGCGAGCCGCTGCGCCCAAAAATGATCCAAAAAGGTCAAATTAGCGCATGCGCGCTTCAGCCCACAGGCTCAGCTGTCATTTCATTTCTCCTCTATGCCTCTCGCGTGGCCGTACGCTCTGGAAACATGGGTTTGATCACAGGAGTGTGTACGTTCTTGTACCATTTACCTCAGATTTACAGATGGCTGCTGAAGCCCTACTACATCGCCTCGTTTCTCATGACCATCGCCTTCCTGGTGGTCCGAAAGGCCCCCGGATTGTGCGAGCACCTGGCTTCTGACCGGGAGGACGGAAACTCCTGCGACTTTGACTGGGTGAGCCGAGCGTGAGGTGGGGGTAGGGGGTTGTGGATATTTTAGTAAATGTGTGTGTTTGCTGTTTTACAGAGAGAGCTGGAGATACTCATGTTTCTCAGTGCTATTGTAATGATGAAGAACAGGAGAGCCAGTAAGTCAGATTCTTCTCACAAACCCTTACAAGCGTGTAAACATCATAGCTGACAACAAATGTATGGTTATAATATAATCCTGATGTATTAAGTGTATTCTGATATGGGACCAGTAGAAGGGCCCCACGTGGGACCACATTCAGGACGTTATTCATTAAAAACTGGCATTGTTGTGTAAATATTCCAGGTAGAGTGTACTCCCTCCCCCCTTTGACCTTGTTCATTGTTGTAAAGGTGTTTTCCTCCTTTCTTCTTCCTCAGTCACTCTGGAGCAGCACATAGGGAACTTGTTCATGTTCAGTAAAGTGGCCAACGTCATCCTCTTCTTCAGGCTGGACATCCGGCTCGGCATCCTCTACCTCACTCTGTGTGTAGGTCAGTGAAATCCCATCCTCTCTCTCTCAACCATTCAGTGGGTTTTCATAAGGACATAAAGTTTATATAAAAGCAATAGTCTCACGTCCACATGTGAACCAATTCCCTGGTCATATTCCCAAACTTGTGTGAAAATGAACACTTAGGTCTTTGCTTTAAAGAGCAAGTCACCCCCAAATCAACTTTTTTTCTGATAAACTATATAAATGTGTGTCTAATCGTGCTGCAGACACGTGTAGTTAATAGTTTTGTACTTTAGTGCATTTTAGTTAAAATTGTAATTTTCTGCCTAAAACTGGCAGTGTCGTGCCGTTGTCGGGTAAAAACTCTGCACTGCATTAGAATTTAAATCTGCCACCGCTATTGGCTAAGAGGTATGCTATGATGTAAACTGGTCCTTATGATGTCACAATGCCGTTGTGAGCCTGTGTGTGTGTGTATTTGTTAGTGGCTACGCCCTCTCGGTCTGCTAGGCAACAGCATTTGTTGCATTTTTCAAACATGAAGAGGGAGTGAAGTAAGTTTCTTGTAGGGGCTTACTTGCTCTTTAAGTATCAAGAGGTTATCATCAGAAATTGTTGCCACTAGTGATTCAAACATATCTAAAAACATAACCGCATCAATAGAAATGGTGACTGAAAGGTTTTCCTCATGAAAATCAGTAGCTGTTAGTTTAGTATTGATGTAGGAGGGATGAGTATCAAAACCTTGCAATCCTTGCAGAATGTGAAAACTTTCTTTGTGGACAAAGTCAATAAGGTCAGATCTAGCATCTCTCCCTCAGCGCTATTTCTACCTCTCCCGACTCCAACCAGGCCCATCATCCTAGATAACTTTGCTCCTGTTCTTTGCCTGAGTTAACCAAACTAGTTAACTCTATGAAGACCTCTGCATGCCCCCTCAACATCTTACCCCCATCTTTGTTTAAAAGTGCTTTTCAGTCCATCATTCCCAGCGTGCTCTCTATAATTAATGCTTCTCTGGTTTCTGGTCAGGTCCCTGCTTACTCAGGCTTCACTTCTACTTTCATACAAAAGAGTCATTAGAAGACATAAATGCCCGCTTGTAAAAGTGGCTATAAAAATGTATACATTAATATCTTTTTGCTTTTTTTTCATAGATCTGTTGAACAACTTCAGCCCTGCTCAAACATAAAAAAATTCAATCATTTTGAGGCTTTTAACCCTTGAAATGCCAGTTTGAATACTCAAAGTCATTGCTTTAATTTATGGGGGAAAAAAACACAAAAACTGAGTTATTTTCTAAAAAATACTTTTTTTTGCTTGGGGTGTTTAGTACTAATCAGTCTTGATTATGTTATGAAATATCTAAAAATTTGAATTTTCTGCATTTATAGTTTTTACATAGCAACAGATTTAAAATTGATAAAAATATTAATGTATACATTTTTTATAGCCACTTTTACAAGACGACATTTTTGTCCTCTAAAGTCTCAAGTGTAGTGTTTTTTTTCATAGTGTTCTCTTGGTATATTTTAAAAATTGCAAATTGAATTTCAAAATTTGTCCAGAGAGAGGTTTTGCGACAAAATTTTATACCATATGCACAAACGGTGGTGAAATGGCGTCAAAAAGAAAAACAAAAAATCTGCCCAAATGGACAAAAATGTCCCTGAAGCCAGCACATCCTGAGCTCTTTTAAAGGAATCTCCTACCATCTTTATGCAGATGACATCCAACTGTACATCTCCTTTAAGCCTCATGAGATGTCTAAGCTGCAGCTGTTACACACCTGCTTAGACTCTATTAAAACCTGTATACCAAATTTTGTAATTCTCAGTTAAAGCATGGCTTGAGGCTGACAGTCTTCTATTCTCAGGACCTACAAAAAAGTCTCTTGGAGCCAAACTCTATATCGCACAGGAAGTCGGCCATTTTGGTCCCATGACTAAATTTTCTGGGTTTTTGCACCCGTTCTATTGACGGTAATGCCCCCTCTGCCTTTTGTCCTATCACCTTCAGATTTTTGCTATACACTCTTAAGAACATTGGAAAAAATTCAACCTACAAGTTTTTCAAAAGTTGAACTGTGTGCAAAAAACTGAGAACCTCATCCGTGCCCCAGACAAGCTGGTTCCCAAAGTCAGAGACTCTCTTGGTCAGCTTGCTTCTCACACCCTCTGGCAGGAATCTTGGCGTGACCTTTGACCCAGCTCTCACCCTGGATTCTCATGTCAGTTCTCTTGTTCGCTCGTCCTTCTTCCATCTCAGGAACGTTGCTAAGCTGAGTCCCATTCTGTCCCGCTCTGAACTTGAGACTGTTATCCACTCCTTCATCTCCTCATGCTTAGACTACTGTAACTCTCTTTCACGTGTCTGAGCAGAACCTCCCTGAACCGTCTACAGGTGGTTCAGAATGCCTGTGCTCTGCTTCTGACCAAGTCCTCCAAACACACCCACATCACCCCGCTTCTCCTCCAGCTTCACTGACTGCCAGTTAACTTCAGGGTTCTGGTCTAGGGCCTTACATGGACAAGCACCATCATGCATTTGTGATCTTCTTAGTCCCTACACCCCCAGCAGGTCCCTGAGGTCCAGTGACCAAAGCCTACTGGTTGTGCAGCACCAGGCTAAAGACCAAAGGGGACAGATCATTTGCTGCTGTGGCCCCCAGACTCTGGAACTCTCTCCCCCTGAGCCTGAGATCAGTGGACTCAGTGGTCTCCTTTAAAAAGCAGCTGAAGACTCACTTGTTCAAGCTGGCTTTTGTATGACCTTCTTCACCTCTCTCTCTTTATTCTGCTCTCCCTACCTATTCCACCTTCCTCAGGATCCACTGATTTCCCTCTTTCCTATTCACTCTCTCTCTTTCTTAACATTTATTTTTTAATCACAATCATCTATTTTTTGCTCATTTTAAATATATTTTTAACCATTTTCTAAATTATTTTTTATATTCTTACATTTTTTGTTTTTGTGAAGCGCCTCGTGATTTTTATCTTGAGGCGCTATAGAAATGATATTTTCTTCTTCTGGAGAGACAAAATTCATCATTCAAGAAATTCAGCTGTGGGCCACACAAAATTGCTCAGAGGGTCAAAAATAGCCCCCGGGCCGCACTTTGGACAAGCATATTTGTTTAGCTTTTGCTTTTTAAACATTACTGTTGATGTGTCTGTTGGTCGCTGAAGCAGCCTGTATATGGCGCCATTGTACAAAGCAACAAATAAGCTGTGATCTTATCATTCATAGTGACTCATGATGAGTTTATCATTTGTCTAGTTAAAAATAATAATCTCAAACAAACTTTTTTTACTCTACTCATTATTCATCGATATTTTAGAGGCATGAATTACTGGAATCTGATTTTATTTTTGGATGCATTCTTTATCCTCAAAATTTTACCAAAATAAAGTATCACTGAAAACAACATCCATTGAGAAACATTTAGAAAATCTTTTTTTCTTACCAGGTGTAAGCAAGTTATTCTTTGTCTCCAGTGTTCGTCATGACCTGTAAGCCTCCTATTTATATGGGCCCAGAATACATCAAGTACTTCAGTGACAAGACCATCGATGTGAGTTGTTCAGTCTCTGTCCATAGCATCTGTTATTCTAACACAATATCAGCATTAGTACCTGGCGTGTTTGCTTCAGGAAGAGCTGCAGAGAGACACTCGCATCACCTGGATTGTGGAGTTTTACGCCAACTGGTCCTCTGACTGCCAGTCCTTTGCTCCAGTCTTCGCTGATCTTTCTCTCAAGTAAGAAATCTTGTTCACTCATGTTTCCTTCAGTTATAAAAAACAGAAAGTTGTAGCACATTTCCCGACTATTCTTTAAAATTGTTTAATTTTTAAAATATCGTACATAAAGCCTCATTTGCAGTTGAAACAATAAATTACGTTAGTTTTTTAATAAAAAGACTAAATGATTACATTTTGCCCTTCATTCATATATTGGCGTCAAAGCAGTAGAAAGCAGGCAGTTGCTGCAAATCAAGATCAAAGATGTTTGGTATTTTGTAGGTCTGGAGTGTGTGTTAACATGGTGCCAGAGAAAAAGTTTAAGCAAAGACTAGAGAGACAGTCGTTGGTGCCTGTCAATCTGAGAAGGGTCAGAAGGTCATTTTCAAACTGAATCAATCAACAGAAAAAAAATAATATTCATAAATGGTAAAATGTTCTCAACCGATGGTAGGCATGACAGGACTGGACATCCCAACAGCTTCTCAGGTCCAATCAGGCAGGCTTAGAAAAACAACACAAAGGTCAAGATCCATGTCTCAGACTCCTATGTTTGGTTACTTTAGCTAATTCTTTTTAAGTCTGAGTTACATTTGATGAGTTCGATCAGCACCTACAGCTCATTCCATGTGAAGCAAGGTGGTGGAGGGCTGATGATTTGGGCTTTGTTTAGCAGCCATGTGATCTGACATGTGAGTTTTCTATGGATGGTTATTGAAGTGTGAGTTCATGTGTTGCCCCAAATGTTCCAGTGTGATGGACTGATGGTGTTAAAGAAGACAGCGACTTATTGTGCCAGAAATCATTTCTACCTGCTACCGTGTCATGGTGTAACTTACTTTCTCTCATATTACTGCTGCATTCTCGCTCTGTAAAAGATTTAAGACTTCTCGATTTAATTCACTATAAAATCCAGCTCTTTGTGTCCCAGTGGATGGATGTGTGGTGATTTAAATAGCACCATCGCTAACTGCCCCAGTGATTCCTCCTTGTGTCAAACAGGTACAACTGTGCAGGACTCAGGTTTGGGAAGGTGGACATCGGCCGATACGGAGAGGTTTCACAGAAGTCAGTTCTCCATATTTCTGCCCTAAAGAGTTGTTAATGCTTTCATTAACAGGCAGTAACTGCATTACCTCTGAACAGGTACAAGGTTAGCACGTCTCCTCTGGCCAAGCAGCTGCCTTCACTGCTGCTTTTTCAAGGAGGGCGAGAGCTGATGAGACGTCCAATGGTGGACAAGAAAGGACGAGCAGTGTCCTGGACATTCAATGAGGTCCCTCCTGCCTCCAACACATAAAGTATGTGTTTAAACAAGTTCTGGCATTAACTGAAATCATTTTCATCCCCAGGAAAACATTATCAGAGAGTTTAACCTCAACGAGCTTTTCCACAAATCTAAGAAGCTGAACAAGAGTCTTGGATTCAAAGAGAACGATTTTCAAGGAGTGGAGGACAACGAAGGGCTTTATCAGACCGACGAGGCAGATCAGCCAAAAGAGAGCAAAAAGGATCAGTGAAGGGGACGCGCTGTACTTCTGTTATTTATGCTCTTTTCTTTCTAATGCAGATTGTTTAGAAACAAATGAGCAGGTTTCATCCGTATCCCAGTCTCTGCATGAACTAAGCCTGATGGAATCTGGTGGGAATCCTGGGGGAAAGAACAGATTTGAGAACATTTAAACATAATATTTAAGATCAAACACAGCCTTATCTCCGCATGTGAACTTTTGCAACCCGTTTACGTATGCGTTGAGTTTCCAAACCAAAGCAAGAAGCTGAAGTGAAACCAGAAATGTCCACAGACCAGACGTGTGTCATACCCACGTTTTCAACAGTTTGACCTTTTATTCTGAGAAGACATCTTAAAAATTCTTTGTAAGGCCATTTTGGAAATGCATTTGATGTAATTGTTACAGGTGAGATTTGTTCCATCCATCCAACCACAGATATTTATTCTCACATAGGTTTCTGACTGTTCAGAGGCCGCCATCTTTGGCCAGAGCAGGAATAAAACATGTTCAGAGTGTGTGACAGATGCTTGTGTGCCTTTTTTTTTGCCACCTGCACATGAACTGGGTGTGTACTGATGGTGATCACAAGCATGCACGCCAGTGAAGCAGTCAGCAGAACAAAACAAAAACTCACATGCACACCAAAAAACTCGCAAAACAATTTTTTTTTAAACAAGTACAGTTTAAAGCATCTGCCTGCCCCAAAATATACGCCACATTCACACAGCTTGGATTTTCTCCTGCAAACACGACTGTGGCCTTCTACTAAAGTAAAATAAATACACACCAAATAGGTCCTTTCTCAACATTGCAGTGGGTAAAAACAAGCTAAACATGGGCCAATCAGTCCTAAAGGTTTAATCTGCTTCACTTTTATCTTAAACATAACAAAACTGGCTTCAGTATGAATGTTCTCAAGGCAAATTCCAACCAGCACAACCAGCAAAGCTGTTTACAGTCTTATTCAGTGGCGTCACTCTTTTAAACACTTCTTACAAAATATATATCCAGGCTTATTTTCCTTGATTTTCATTTACATCCAGAACAATAGGATTTGTTTATATATATATATATATTCATTTTGTCTTGTGAAATAAATAAGCCCCTTCCCTCACAGCCTCCTATTTGGCTAAACACCTGTTTAAAGTGTGTGGTTGCTAAATTTTTACTGATAAATTACAGAAAAGAGTAAAAAAAAAAAAAAAAAAAAGAGAAAGAAAGACAAACAATGACCTTAAAGCTAGAAAGAGATTTGCATAACGTCTCTAGAATAAAACTCGACAAGCGTACATTCACAAAGATGCTTGTGCTGCAAGAGGGAGAATCTTAACTTATTTGTGGCTTTAGAAAATGATTTTGATTATCGGCCACGTCTGCAGTCCAGCGGGCATCACCCCTTCTGTCTGGATGATGCAGCAGGAGCTTGTGAGTGACTGATACAGCCATTCATAAAAAAAAAACACACGAGTAAATACAAACAGACCATCTGCCACTCTCATCAACAGTCATCTTGACTATCTGACTCAATCATCTGATTCTATAGTTATATAAAACGATATTTTAAAAAATTATAAAACATAAATGAGTTTAAAGGTTGGACCCCTCCCTCCGTATGGTCCGCTCAGGTGTTTCTGTTGGTCTGAAATCTGGATAAAGACCACCCGTGTCCATTTTGAGTCTTTATGTACCGAAGCCAAATAGCAAATATTTACGTGTGTTTCGTCTACGCATCTGTACCCAGCTGTGATGACGCAGACGCATCAGTTTATGGCTCACAAATTGGTTCAATGGAGAACAGGTCTCCTGGTTCATATCAGACAGGCTGGCAGGAGGAGATCAGCTGGAGCATCACAGAGATAAGCGAGTACCAGACGGACCGGCTCCTCGGGTCCAACAGAACGTCTCAGCTGCTTTAGTCATGAATAATATCCAGCTTAGAAAAGAGGCAAGTGCAACAAGTCCAACAGCGGTTTCCCTCCTCGTGATAAGATTCTGTCACTTAAACGGAAATCTCGTACGTGGTCCCTCCAACACCGGTGACCTTTTTCACCCCGCCCCCTGGTTTAGGTGTGCTGTGATTGGCCAAGACTGGGCGAGAGGTGGATCTGGTTGGACATCCGTTTGGAGATGGGGAGAGAGGAGAAAGAGAGATGGAGGTGAGATGGTTGACTTCAAACATATACACTCAGACACGAGAGAGAATGTTTCTCTACCTTGAGTCTTGAAATGCATTTGTGAACTCTACTTGGTGAGTGAAGACAGGACAAGGACACAAAAGACTACAGGACAAAGTAAATAACGCCACTAGGAGCTAAACACACATGCACATGCATGCTTTTTATAGTAATCTACACAAATTCTTTAGAGGTAAACAAGGTAAGTAGGTTGGTAGGAAACGGAGGACTCACACAGATCAACGAGGAAGAGGAGAGCTCACACAAACCAGGAAAGAAACACAGCAGAAAGGAGGAGAGCGGCAGCTGAAGAATCTGGCGATGGATCACTACTCACTGTGGAGCCTGGTGCCCTCCTCCCCCTCCCAGCACAGCGCCTCCTCCTGCAGGCCGAGGCTTGTGCTGAGGCCCTGCCTCCCCGGTGTAAGACGGGGACTTGCTGAGGGAGAGGCCACGCGGCGGAGGGGAGACGGGGGGCTCCAGTGGGTGAGCCCCAGGGGAAGAGGACAAGGAGGAAAGGTTACGAGTATTTCGGGAAATGACGTCCTGCTTGTGCTGAAGCAGGTGCTGGGCCTCCGGGGAGGAGGGAGTGGGTGGACTGACAGCACGCAGGTAGGCCCTGTGAGGGGAGGAGAAAGTGGTGGAGCCCTGGAGCAGCTGCCCCTCCCTCTGCTGAGCGATCTGAGCTGAGAGGAAGGGCGACGTGTAGCCCTGCAGCGGGCTGCTGGGTGACACCACCACGTGCTGGCCAGTCACTGCTGAGGAGTGGAACAGGACACGGGGCTTCTGCGGTGACAGCTCGTGGGCGGCCGACTCAAACTCTGGGCTCTCGGACGGCGTCAGAAGGCTGTCGTATGACAGGCTGCCGTTTCGAGGCGTCTGATTGGCAAGGCTTTTGTAGCTGGTGTCCGTGGTGCCCTCTGATTGGAGCGTGGCCAGCGGGTTATGTACAGTCTGGGCTGAACGCTGACTGGACGAGCGAGAGCCGCCAATGGACAGAACCAGCGAGGATGGGTAAGAGGTGTAGGAGCGCCTAGTCAGGGAGTAGCCCGACACACCCGACACCACACCAGCAGTCCCCCCAGGGCCTCCAGGGCCCTCACCCCTCTCCCCTCTGTGCACCCCTACACCTCCTCCCACCACTGTGGCCCCGTCCAGGCTGCTCGGCTCCGAGCGGTAGCTAGGCTGGCGGCTGGACTGGAGGATGGAGGGAGACGGAGAGTCCAGACTCTCTCCTCGAATCATCTGAGAAGAGGAGAGAAGGAGGAAACAGACCCAAGGAGGAGAAGGAAGAGAACACTGATCAGAGAAAAGGTGAAAATAATAAAATTTAATCTGACTCAAGGAGAACAAAACAGTACGGAGGGGAAGAAGGGGTGGGGAGCTTTGGATGCTTGACCGGTGCTCTAATTCATCATCACACTGCTGATGATAAACATAAGACTGATTGGACACCACATGTCAAAGACCGTGCACGTGTGTGTGTGTGTGTGTGTGTGTGTGTGTGTGTGTGTGTGTGTGTGTGTGTGTGTGTGTGTGTGTGTGTGTGTGTGTGTGTGTGTGTGTGTGTGTGTGTGTGTGTGTGTAAGAACACAAATGGAGTTACAAATACATATGAAAAATAAATGAACTGCACATTCCAGTCAATGCAGTCTGAAGGGAAACGACAGGTCCAAACACACACACACACACACACATAAACAGTGAGACTTACTGCTCAACTGACGGCCACTGAATGATAAATTAAAAGCAAAAACAAAAGGAAGGGCATTTATTAACCACAAATTAAATCAAATTAGAAGCCAGACAGAACAGCCTCTAGCCCACTGAACAGTTAGCTGCAGGTCAGCCTTAGTTCATGCCTCCTTTAGCAACAAGGAAAAATATTGCATCTGTATTATTGAACATTTCTTTTTTTCCTCTGTTTCAACATGAGTTACACGACCAGTTTCTCTCCTGGCTGATTGCTCCTTTGACATGCACACATCATGCTGTGGATAAACCATCCAGAGAGCTGACTGTACCTTAATTGGATGTGGAGGGGTGGCGTGGTTCCTCCCAGGGCTGCTGTAGGCTGGGCGGTACTTGTACATTGACGGTGTGGGTGGAGCGTTGGTCAACAAGCTGCTCTCTAAGGGACAAAGAGCCAAAGGTGATATTTGAGCTAGAGGAGTTTATGATCAGAAAGCAAACATTCATCTGTTTAAGCAGCAGGTCATAAAACACTTCAAAGATCTCCTCAGAGCTTTATGGACACTCAGGTGTCAAAACATTTTATTTACAGGCCACGAGCAGTGACTTGTGTGTATAACCAGGGCTTGGATGTGAAAATGGGAGTGAACATTGTCCAAAACATCATAGAATTATGAGTATGTACCCCCTTGCTTAAAATAAATGTGGATTTTATAAAACAGCTGATTGACCACTGATATGTGTGTGTGTGTGTGTGTGTGTGTGTGTGTGTGTGTGTGTGTGTGTGTGTGTGTGTGTGTGTGTGTGTGTGTGTGTGTGTGTAAACAAAAACAGAAAAAATTTAATTATGAGCAGGTTTAATGGCAATAATGATATCTGGTAAATGCCAGCAGAGAGTTAAAAAAAGCAACCAGATGTTAATAGCTGGCAGAGAGTAGAATGTAAAGTAACTATGTATAGATAAGCTAATTAGCTAATTACTTCATGATGTAAAACAAACAATCATTTTAGAAAAACTGAGGAATGACCATAAACTGGCTCATTTCATAACTTAGTTCAGACATTTAGAATTAAAGATGAATGAGTGAGGAGAGAAATCTCAACCAATAGATGTACTAAATAAAGATTAGTGACTTTAACCAAAAACATTAACAAGGCTGTTAGGACTGACTTACTTTCAGGGCCTGTATTCTAAAAGAGACCGACCATCAGAGGATGATTTTGTGCGATTCTTTGCTGGGCTGAACCTACCAACTCTGAGTGAGTCTTTAGATTTATGTTTATTTAGATTTATGATTTATGTTAAAGAGCAAGTCACCCCCTACCAGAGTACTTCTCCACTCCCACTTCCTGTTTGAAAAATGCAACAATTGCTGTTGCCCGGCAGACCGAGGGCAGAGCTACTAACAAATACACATGCACAGGCTCACAATGACATTGTGACATCAAATGGTGCCAGCTAATGTTATAGGTACTTCTTAGCCACTAGCAATTGCAGATTTAAATTCAAACACAGTTCAGAGTTTTTACCTAAAGAGAGCACAACACTGACAGTTTTAGGCATAATATTTAAATTTTAACTAAGATGCACTCAAGTGCCAAATTATTGACTACATGTGTGTTCAGCACTATTAGACACACATTTATATAGTTTATCAACTAAATAAAGTTGATTTGGGGGTGACTTGCTCTTTAAATTAACCTTTAATCACAGTGAAAGCCACAAATAACAGTCACACACTAGGTATAGGTTGTATTCCAATTTTCATATACCTTGGTTTGGGATATTCTTGGACCAGTTAGGCTTGAAGCAATACAGTATGCCATTGAAGTTGGCTCATTCCAATCGGAATCTTAAGACATCCTTGATTACTGTAATCCCTAAACCTTGACTTTGCCAGTTCTCAACAAATCCATCCATCCATTTTTGGCTGCTTATCTGGGGTAAGGTTGCAGGGGCGGCAGCCTAAGCAGGGAGACCCAGACTTCCCTCTCCCCAGCCACTTGGGCCAGCTCCTCTGGGGGAACCCCAAGGCGAGAGACACATGGGCCAGCATTGAGACATAGTCCCTCCAGCAGGTCCTGGTTCTTCCTTTAGGTCTTCATTGCAGTCACAGCACCAATCCGCCTAGCCATCCATCTCTCCATCTTTCCCTCACTCATTAACAAGACCCCATCTTGGGGCAGGACCTCATCCCGGACCCGGAGAAGGCATTCTACCCTTTTCCGACTAAGGACCATGGTCTCGGGTTTAGAGGGGCAGATTCTCATCCCAGCTGCTTCCCACTCGGCTGCCATCATGTTCTGATGAAGTCAACAGGACCACATCATTCAAGTTTCAAGTTCAAGTGTATTTATAAAGTCTCTTTCTACTCCCAATCAAGGGGGCCCAAGGTGCTGAACGTAGTATGAAAAACAAATGAAAACACAATAAAACAGCTATCGTATTTTCCGGACTATAAGCCGCTACTTTTTCCCACGCTTTGAACCGTGCGGCTTATAATGAGGTGCGGCTTTAGTCAACCAGAAAGAATGGATGCTGGAAAGTCTAATGAAGGAATGGTTAAAGGAGTGCTACGGAAAGCGCCCACAAGGATTTCTTTTTCACAGTAAAACCGCGCTGCTCGTTTTCCCAGCTTCACCCAGGGATGATGACAGCAACACGGAGAGCGACACTGACATCGCCACAGAAAAGGTATGTGACAAAGCTCTTCTGAGGCTGTTCAACTCCAGCACTGAAGATGACGACTTCAGTGGTTTCAGTGCGCAGGAGGACGATGAATAAACTAACCAATAACTTTTCTGTTTTGTTTGATACTGATCAGTTCAGTTACGTTCAGTTAAACTACGTTTTCAATTCAGTAGATATCTGCGGCTTTTAGCCCGGTGCGGCTTATATTGAGGTGCGCTCTATAGCCCGGAAATAACGGTATATAGTAAAATATAGAAATAGCACAGACCTGATCCTCAGGCCACCAAAACAGATCCCCTCAACACCTTGGCTGCACCTAGAAATCCTGTCCATAAACGTTATGAACAGAATCAGTGACAAAGGGCGGCCTTGGCGAAGTCCAACTCTCACCAGAAACGAGCCCGACTTACTGCCGGCAATGCGGACCAAGCTTTAACACTGGTCAACACCTAACAGCCCATATCAAAGGGCCTGGTACTCCATACTCCCAAAGGGCCCCCCGAGGGACACAGTCAAACACCTTCTCCAAATCCACAAAACACAGGTAGATTGGCTGTGCAAACTCCCACACACCCTCCAGGATCCACTTAATGTGTAGAGTTGGTCCAGTGTTTCACAGCCAGGACAAAACCCACATTGCTCCGCCTAGATCTGATGTTTAACAATCTGTCAAACCCTCCTCTCCAGAACACCTGAATAGACCTTACAGGAAGGCTCAGGTACAGGTGTGATCCCCCTGTAGTTGGAACACACCATGCAGTCCCCCTTTTTAAATAGGGCAGATCTCATCCACCCCTGGAGCTTTGCCACTGAGGAGCTTTTTGACCCCCTCAGTGACCTCAGCACCAGAGATTAGATTGGAGTTTCCAGTGGGATTGGGGAGGTCTTCGAAGTACTCGACCTATCTATCCACAACGTCCCGAGTTTAAGTCATTAGAACACCGTCCCCACTAAATAGTGTTGGTAGCGCACCACTTTCCCTTCCTGAGGAGAGGGATGTTGGACCAGAATCTCCTCGAAGCCATGCGGAAGTTTTGCTCCATGGTCTCACCAAACTCCTCCCACGATTTTGCTTTCGACCACCCGAGCTGGATTCCACTTGGACTTCCGGTACCCATCAGCTGCCCCTGGAGTCCCACATGCCAAAAAGACCCGATAGGACTCTTTTCAGCTTGACAGCCTCTCTAACCATCTGTGTCCATCAGTGGGTTCAGGGATTGCTACCACGACAGGCACTGACGACCCTGCAGCCGCAGCTCCAGTCAGCCGCCTCAACAATAGGAGTCTGGAACGTGGCCAACTCCGATTCAATGTCCATCGCCTCTCCCGGAACATTTTGGAAGTTCTGTTGGAGGTGGGAATTGAAACTTCAGACTCCAAAAGACTTTCCCAGCAGTCCCTTACAATATATTAGGGCCTGTCAGGACTGACCAGCATCCTCCCCAACCATCAAAGCCAACTCACCACCAGGTAGTGGTCAGTTGTCAGCTCTGCCCTTCTCTTTACCCGAGTGTCCAAGACATGCGGCTGCAGATCAGATATGAAAATAAAGTTGCAAGTGCACATATGGACTCCTGTATGTCTGAACATGGTGTTCATTATGGACAATCCATGATGAGTACAGAAGTCCAGTAACAAAAGACCCATTGAAATCAGATCAGGGGGGCCGTTCCACCCCACCACACTCTCCAGGTCTCATCGTCATTGCCCACGTGAGCATTAAAGTCACCCAGCAGAAGGAGGGAGCCACCGGAAGAAGCGCTCGCCAGCACCCCCCAGTTAAAAAGAGCTAATGGAGGATGTGGATGTCCTAATTTAAATTTCTACCACTGGGTCTATGTTTTGAGGAGTTCATCCTGCTGGTTAGATGACAAAAGGAACCCTCCGTTGATAGATATTATGTGAGCCCTTATCCTATCAGCGAGATTAAATTATTTCCTTTTGAGATTTCCTGATGAGCTGCTGCACAGGTGATTCAACCACTGAATCTAGTGTGTTGGAGCAGAGAAACCACTAAAACGTGCTGGATACCTGCCCTCAAAGCCCAGAATTGAATAGCCCTGCCCTACAGGTTCCTCTAGCTAGTGATCAGAACTGACACCCAGTGTCCAGCTGGTTACAAGGTGTGCCCAAAAAGACAGTTTCATTTATTTATAACAACCTGCTGATCTAAAGTGTCATACCCTACTCAGGAATGAAAGCCTGGGAGGATGATTTGTCCACCCAGGACTTTTTTCCTGATTGGGTGGAAAATTTGGTGAAATGTAGAGATATTTTGCTCTAGAGCTTATTTGACACCAATTATTAGACACTTTATTGTATTACTGATTTTAGTTGTGTCCCTCCCCCTTTGGATCCTGTTCACTTATTAAAATGATGACTAACGGCTATCACAAATGGAGAAAACCTGTAGCTTAAAATATTTTTTCATGCCTCTTAGCAATGTTCTAACATAGTATAGCCTTAAATATATTGTGATAAAAAAAACTGAAATGAATTAATAAAGTGAATACTTTGCATTTGCCTAACAACCTCAAATATCACGTTTCGGATAGAAAGCAACCATTGGACCATCTGGTTGTTGGTCTTGTCGAACACTTCGCTGGATCATCCACTCATTACACACTCATGTATTTATCAACAGAACACAACTGGTGTGAGAGGTTCTCTGCTCAATAACATCAGAGAAGGAGAAACATCCAGCAGCTACCAGTTCAACTTTAGGACAAAAATACAAGAGTCCCAAAAAGAAAAACCATTTGAAGTCACGGACAACCACAGATGTTTGAACTTAGAAAACAGTGACTGGTGTTTAGCACCATCTAGTTTCCTCTGGAAATGTGGGTTTCCGGTTCTGGCAGAGGCGTCTCAGGGAAGACACCCGAGGGGAGGGTGAGTGTTGCGTGAACGTGTATGCGTTCAAAACCTAGCTTGTTTGCAGATTCGCTATAACAGCTTTAAGAGACTACCTGCCAACTAGAATTGGACGTACCAACTTTTGGACACAGGGGAACGGGTGGGAAAGGTAGGTTCTCAATTGATAATATGTTATATACCGAAAGTGTGTTGTTGAGTGTTTGATTTGTTATTGTGTTCCTAGTAAAAAAAAAATTATGACAAAAAAAATTAACAAGAATCAGAGGTTTTTATCCGTTTCAGCTGGTGGACTAAACTTACAAATTATCTGAGAAAAAAGCTGAGAGCACAAATCTAATCCTCCACAGTGCAAACCCTCTCAAAGTCTTCTTAACAGGAGAATAAAATTGTGTCTCACCTTCGGTGTCAGCACGAGGAAGGCCGGGGTACCGGAAATCTGGCTTTGGAGGAGGAGGTTCTATGTCAGCCGACTGGCTCTCCATCTGATCCAGACTGATCTTTGACTGGTAAAGACGCAGAATAGAGTTTAGGGTGTGCTTGGGTTGGCGAAGACTAAATCCAACAGAGACTAGCAATGAAATTGTTGGACACAGATTTCATAAACCTCCAAACGTATAAAATATTAGATTTAATTATAATTTAGGATTAACAGAGCAGTTTCCTGTTGGACCAATAAAGATGAAAACAGTTCAAATTAAATTTTTTTGTAAAATGTGTCCTATGACTCTAGCCCCTTCATAGGACTGTAATACATCAGCGGCCTTTGACAGAGTGTTTGTTACCCTGGTGCTGTGTCGGTCATTGTGGATGCCGTTGTCCAGAACTTTGGCTTCTAGCTGGGCCTCGGTGAGAGACGGCCTGAGAAACGGCGGCTGTACCTCCAGAGCCTCATGGCCCCGCCATCGGCCCAAGTACCTGTAACGTACACAAACAAACACACCTGCTTTAGAACAACATGCACAGTAAACGAAATAAACAGAGTGGTGCTCAGGGAATGTCTGAAGTCATTTATTCCACTGGCTGAACGGACAGATGAGAACAATAAGAGTGGGAAAATGGAAGGAGAGAGAGAGATGGAGAGGCAGGAGGAGGAGTGGAAAAAATATTTTAGAGGAGTATTACCAAGCAGGGGAGGAAACAGAGAAAAGGGAGCTGACCTGGGGGCCTGGGGGCTGCAGAGCACATGTGAAATATTCCTCAAGCAGCCCTTAGTGAAAGGGTTAACGCCTCCCCGGAACTTTCCAGTCACCTAAAAACCAGGAGTGAAAAAACGTATATCACACCAGTTAAAATAAACTTTAATCTCAAGCAGACTTCCACATATCCCCAAGCTTATTTAGTGATGAAAACCGATTTGTACCTGCTCATTAGTGGTCCTGCCACGAGCCACCAGAACTATGTGGAACCCAGTCAGGCCAGCAACTGGGACAAAAAACAGACCAGCCACACACATCACAGCCATACTGGGAGGCAGGGTCAAGGGGATCACAAACCATAAACAAGAGACAAAAAAAAAAAAAAAAAAAAAAAAAGCAGTTCGGTGTTCTTCAGAGCACCAAGTAAAGGATACGTAACGGCAGCATGTGGCGTGTCCAGCTGATGGCGGTGGTGCAGCACGTACACCAGGCCAAAGCCAAATATGTTCATGATGTGGGTGGTTAGAGACAGCAGAAAGAGGAAGAAGTACCGATAATTCCTTCGGCCAATGCAGTTATTCACCCAGGGACAATGGTGGTCAAAATCCTGAGAGAGCACAGAGCCAGACGAGTAGATGTTAGAGTAGATAAAAATGTCCATCCATCCATTTTCTTGACCTGCTTTTCCACGCAAGGTCACGGGGTACACCCTGGACATGTTGGTAGTCCGTCGCAGGGCAACACAAAGACAAACAGGACAAACAACCAAGCACACACTCACACCTAAGGACAATTTAGAGAAAACAATCAACCTGACAGTCACTTTTTTGTACTGTGGGAGGAAGCCGGAGAACCCGTAGAAAACCCACGCAAACACAGGGAGAACATGCAAACTGCTACCCCAGACCAGGATGTGAACCCAGGACCTCTTTGCTGCAAGGCAACAGCACTAGCCACTGCACCACTGTGCAGCCAGATAAAAATATCACGGAGCACAAAAAAAGATATTAAACATCTAGAGTTGAGAAAAGTCAAATATCTGAATGACTGTCAACTCCCAGAGTCACCCTGGAAAAGCTAGGAATAGATCAGATCTGCTGTGGCTTCAGGACTTCAGATCAAACATACACCCACAACGTGTGACATCACTTTAATAGTTTTTTGTGTTTTTGAGTAATAAGTAATAAAAGTACTATGTAAGGAGCTTGAGCTACTGCAACACAGAAGAAAATCACTAAATCTAGCAGACTCTCATTTGGATTAACGTGTGTGTGTGTGTGTGTGTGTGTGTGTGTGTGTGTGTGTGTGTGTGTGTGTGTGTGTGTGTGTGTGTGTGTGTGTTGTGTGTGTGTGTGTGTGTGTACCTCCACACAATTGTCGCAGACTGAGCAGTGTGAGCAGCGAGGCGGGCGGTAGAAGCGGCAGGTTGAGCACCACTTCATCCGCACCTGGATGCCTCTGATCTCAACTGTCTTATAGAGCGGAGCGCGGAAATCATCCTCTTTGTCCTCGTCCTCCTCCGCTGCAGACAAAAGACGCAGCAAAATGACTCGTCACGCGGTGTCTCCCTCTGCATCCTACTAGTCCAACACAAAATCCTAACACACTTTATCTCGTTATGTATTGAAAATCATAATATAATCAGTAATGATTTATTGTACAGATCTGCACACCAGCTCTGCTCAGCCAGTTTTACCTCGGGGGAAAATTCCTGGGTCCATGAAAGTGGCCATGCAGAAGTTAGCCAGGGTAAAGAGGAAGATCACAGCAATGTAGAAGGGGACGACTGAGGAGATGGACTCTGACAACCATGGACACCTGGACAGTATAAATGAAATGACAAGAGACAAAATCACAGCTACACAAACGTTACATCAGGAAAAAGGATCCGATCACATTCCATCGTGCTGATGAGCCTATGTGTGAGGCTGCTCACGGGCTAAAAATACAACAGAGATTGTAAAGCTCACAGGTGTGAAAGTGTGGGAAGTGTTGCTGAGCAGATGGTGCTTGTGTTTCAGAAATTCTCTCTGAATACGTGAAAGTTCACAAAACTAAAGAACAACATGCTTTTTGTCAGACTTAAATCTTACATCAACAATTCAGATTAATGAGCACTCACGTGAAGCAGAAGAACAGCGTCGTGGCCCCAACGAGGAAAGTCGTGGCTGCAGAAACCGGCACGTATCGGCTGGGTCGGAATGGGCGGGGAGGAGCGGAAGCAGGACCCCCCACTCCTCCCCCAATCACCCCACCGCTGAATCCAGGCATCAGACACAAAGAGGGGGAAGACGAGAGGGAGGTAGATATCGAGCGTCCACCGACTGTAAAAGGGTCCTCCACAGGTCAGAATGGTAATGCTGGTGTTTGTTTGGGAGGAGGGGCCATGACTAGGGACTGGAAATGAAAACCAACACTATGCAAAGCAGCAACCGAAAGGAAACATGGAAGATTGTCTGAGTCTAAACATTTCCTTGCAGTGATTTAAACACTATATATATTCAAAGCAATAAACACTGTTCCATTTGCATTTGCACAGATTCTTGTAAATAATTTGTGTGCATAATATTCATTTCTTTACAAAAGCAATGTAATACAAAAATATTTGTAATTCATAAATATTTTTGTATGGCTTAAATGTAGCCGGGTTTGGTGCAAGAACGTAAACACTGCTGTACATGCACGAAAAACGGTGAACACTTGTGCATCCAAACTGAAGCAATCCTTAAGTTTCTCTCCACTCCTGAAATTCAGCGTGTGCATAAATGCTCACAACTGTGCTTGATTATCTGAAAAAGTGAAAAATGGATATAAAAAGAAAAGGAAATAAAGAGGTAGTCCATCAGGCAGAGAGCAGAAGCACATGGAGGGGGACAGGCAGAGGACTGAGCACAGCAGCTGCTGATGACTTCTGCGATTGTCCCGAAAGGGGCTTAATTAGGCACTGGGTGGGTGGAAGAAACCAAGGACGGTGAGGAGGGACACTCCCAGCTACCAAAACTACGCCAGCGTGGGAAACCAACAATAAAATGACCTTTAAACCAGGAGGAAAGAAGCTTTATGTCAAACCAATCCAGTAGAAGTTGATTTTTTTTTTATAGTTGCTTAAAAACAAAACTGGTTAAAAATAATCGGATCCCCTTTGTCTTTATTGATGGCGGACTTGAGTCTCTTTTGGTGACGGAATCAACTCGTTCCATGAAGAAGCTCAACGTAGTCCACAGAGGCATCGCTGCACTTGGCTGGAGATGGGTGTAGTCGTGACCTCTCCCTCCTCCACATTCTCTGCAAAAAATCCTCAATTCCCATGTTGTTCTCCAGGAAATGCAGGTCCAGGAGCTTGGATCTCATGCAGACAGGTCCATTCTAGCCTGTTGTTATCTTTGGCTCCAGGTTAAGCTTCATCCCCTGGGTCTGCAGGTAAACTGAGGAAAGGTTCCTGTTATTATAAAAAGCTACAACACACAAAAATCATAAAACCTTTCAGGGAGGAAAAAATTATGTTTCAAATAGATGAATTAAACATTTAGAAACAAATTCCTAAACATTTTTGAAGATTCAAAGGGAACAGATTACTCTTAGAAAAAATGTCATTTGGTGCAGATATTTTACAAAATGTCAAATAAGGAAAAATATTTAACTTTTTCATCTTAAGTTTCCTTCTATTTTCCCCATACAATCATTTCATTTTCTTTTGCAACAGATCACTATATATATACA